ATGGCTGCTCCAGCACGAAACTGAAAGTAGATAATTTAAGTCGTCGTCCTTTTTCGTATTCGCATTTCTACTCAGGTTCCGACAATTATGGCGGAAACGCCAACGTCGGCAGTCGGTGGTCGGCACGAAAACGAAAGTGCCGACAAAGCCAACGGGAGAAAAGGGGGACGCTGGCAGTCGGCCAAGCCTCGCACTTCGCACATTGACTGATACAGGTGGGCCTAGTGATAGCATCGGCCGCCTCGCGGGTCGCGTCGCGATTGTCGGATTTCAGACAATTGTCGGCAAACATGCAGGTCTATGAGCTTAGAACATTTGAACAGCTTGCTGACGAATTATAGAGCCAGTGAGATGTGCGTACATACCTCCTGAAAGCGCCGGTGTAGCTGCATGATGAGGTCGTGGATCTCTCGTCGTTTGTTCAGCACCAGCTCCTCGGGGAACCATGTCTGCAGGCCCTTCATGGGGATCTGGAAGTCTGCGATAGGGTCCTGGAACAGCAAACACAAGAATTGGTTAAGTTTTAGTAAAAGTTTTACGGCCCATGCAAAAAAATATGGTCATATTAGTGTTGAAAATTATAGAGGTGTTAAAAGAGAGTAACAAACACAGAAAAAGGAGAGATAAATGTGATAGATGTTTGACAGGAAAGAAGGAACAAACCACACCACAGCACCCGGCAACCGCCCACAAGAATGTTATTGATAACTGTTAGTATATGGCAAGCAAGAGTGTTTATTTCTTTATATTTTTTTTTGTTCGTTTAAGTACAGAGAGGGACATCAATATAATAACAGTCATTAAGTGCAGGAAAACAACAAGACAGACAGTCAGAACGCCTGAGGGATAGTCATTGTTGTTAACGATCCAGCACAGAGGGATAGTCAAAAAGAAGAACTTATCAGCAATCCCCTGCCTCCACCCACAGTTAAATGCCTTCTCTTAAATAGCACTGTTTATTGTTTATTGTTTCAGGAAGCAACATCCCTGCACTCCGGACATGTCCATTGATGCTCCGTTGCTCTCTCCAAAATGTTGCCGAGGGTCCTTCTACTGATTAAATAGCAACATCAAGACAAAGAAAAATGTGCCCTCAAAACACAAGCAACAGCCCCCAACTGCGCTGTGCAAGAAGTCTAACCAATACACACGCTTAAATGCGTCACACCGCTGTGGAATCGAGTGCCAGTCAATTTTTGGGCATGTAGAGTTATTGGTATCATCTTAAAGCTTGTTAGTTTGGGTAACTTTCGGTGAAAGAAATAACCATCTTTTATCAACTCACTGAATACGGTTCCCGTCACGCAGGATGGAGTTGGCGATTTTGTTCCGTATCTTGTGCTCTTGTCACATGTACGGGGACGGACCCCAGAGCTAGTTTTGCCACTTGTTTCCTTTCGTGCCGAGTAGGGCAAAAGTTGCGTGATAACTTTTTAAGAAATTGAAGGTGAAGGACAGTCACCCCAACTAGGGTTGAACTGACCGGAACTCGCGCTATATTTTTTCTTTACAGCTGATAGTAATTTGATAGTCGCGTCGTAGTAGTTGTAGCGGTCGCAGAAGTCGCATTCACAAGAATAACATAATTTCGCTGAATGCGATACTTCTGTTTGTTTTATTAGTTCTAGTGACACAGAATATGATGTGTCTGATGGTTAGGATCCTGGATATCTACCCGAACATGGCCTGAGTCGTAGTTTTAGGGCTAGATCTAGATTCTGGTTCACAACTTCGTGGCCTACATCTGTCTCATGTAATTCAGTGTATGGGTCTGAATCAACGCACAGCCCAGCTTTTATATTTTCACAAAACACTCACACATGCATACAAATCAAAACAGAACACTTTGAACTTTTATTTTTGTTGTTGTTATGAATTTCATTCTATCTGTCATGTCTCTGGAAATTTTTTCGAAAAATCAAATTCATGCCAATTTTTCCCAAAAGATAAAAATTTAAGTATTAGACTTAGACAACTTTTTTTGTATCAGATTAAGCTTGAATGTAACTTTACTGTGTCAAAAAATAATTACAATAGGGTAATTCTGAGAGTTGTGTTTTGAAATACCCCCAAAAATGCCAGTATTCAGCGCTAGTGACTCGTGAAAGGGGCCGGTAGTCAGTAAGTCAGTCAAGATATTTGCGGCTGAAGGAGGTGGGTTTCAGAGGTAAAATTAGCCAGAAAATGGCTGCCAAAGTTGGTGACTAAAATAGCTTGAGAGTCCTTGGAAACGAAAAATTTACATTTTTGTGTCTTTAATCAATGCTTATCAGTAAAAATCTTCACAGAGATGTATTTTTTTAATGGACCAAACACATGTGGAGCCAAAAAAACAATAATTTGATATAAAAATGAAAAAATGCACATTTCTTCAAATTCATTATTTTGGTGAGTGCCTGATTTCACCACAACGCCTTACAAATTTTGCAGTTTTTTTTTTTAAAGAGGAGAAAACTGACCTGAAAGAAGCTCTCAACGTACTGCAGGAGAAACACACCACAGTCGCTGTAGTTGCTCTGCTGAGGAACTTTTGGAGTAGAGCCCCGGAGAATCTTGGCAATGTTTCTCTGCTCAGACTTCTTTGCATTCCATTCACATTGTAAATAGCTGTGGAAAAAGATTAAGAAGTTTCATACATTTTTTCACCAGTCTCACTTCTATTTCCTAGCAACACATGATTTACACGAACAGTCAAATTAAAAAAGTAGGTGGTTGGTGGGTGCTCTGGTGTAGTTTGTTCCTTCTTTCCCATCAAACATCTAACATCCTTATCTCTCCTCTCTTTCAATGTTTATGACTCTCTAGACAGCCTCTTATCTTCAGCACTTAAGTGACCAAAATGTGTTGCAAGTGGCGTAAAACTCTTAATAAAACTAAATTAAAAGGGATGAACAAGAAAGAAAAACAACATATTTTTGCTTTGCACTCCCTGTGTCAGTAAACTGACACTGTTTCATTTAAGTTCTAAGTGTGTGCAAAGAGAAATGCAATGATACGACCCGTCACTTAGAATTGGGAAAGAGAGCAAGACATACCCATCAAACAAATAGAAGGAATGTGAAGTATAAGAAATCAACTCACTCTCTCAACATCCGAACATTTGGCGCCCTGCTTGGGCCAAGTAAGGAATCAAACATCAAAATGCAGGGTCTGAAACAGAAAGGTGACATGAAATTTATTATATGGATGCTTCTCATCAACAAATAATGGAAAAGCACAAATTTTAGCCATCTAAATAAAATTGCTTGACATGAAAAGAGTAGTCAAAAGGTCAAAATTTTCAAATTGAAACATAGACCTTATTGTATTGTGAATGTCTCCAACTTCAGAATATTTTCAATACAACAGTTCTTCACACACAGTCTATTTGCAGCGAAAGGAAACAGTTAAAAACAGTTTTCTTAAAACAACAAAATAATAACAATTTTTTTTATGACTGTGACTACAATATGTTTTGGAGTTCAGATCTTTATGAAAATCAATTAAGTTATACAAAGTTTAGTTTTAGTTTTAGTAAGAGTTTTACGGCACTTGCAACACAATAAAGTCATATAAGTGCCGAAGATTAGAGGTGGTACAAGAGAGCAACAAACACAAAAAAGAAGGAGGGGAGATAAGAAGATAGCTGTTTGATAGGAAAGAAGGAGCAGCATACAAAGACAATATTTTTTTTTAGTTTGAGTAAGAAGAAGCACATCAACATAAAACCTGTCGTGTATTGCTAGGAAAAAGAAAGAAAGACAGAGAGAAGCACCAAAAAAAAGGAAAGAAAAGCAGTGGGACCTACCACTGATGCCCTCCAACCACCCGCTATAACATGGATAGATGACAGAACTGTAGCTCATGGAAAACTCTCCTGAGACTTCTGGTAACTTCAGATACAAACAAAAACAAAACAAAGAAAGGCAACAAAAGCTGATGAGATTCCATATTGGACTACTCAAGTTCGAAGATAATCTGATGCGCCTAGACGGGTATGTTATCTACTTTCGCTCCATCAAAAGAGCTTACCACCAATGTTCCTATAAGGATATTTAATTTACTTTGTCTGCATCGCAACAAGCTTAGCACTCACTGTTTCTGTCCCAGGTTGTACTTGCTTTCCTCATTGTCAATACATTTTTGAGGGTCTAACTGCTTGCCAAGGATTGTCTGTGAATACACACAAAAGAAGCCCCTTCTCCATAAACAACAAAAACAATTAATAATTAAAAGTCAGCACAAACATTTGCATTATGTTCACTATGATTCAATCATAGATACAGAGGCTTAGGGCACGGTGAGAACAAAAAATTTAATTTAACGAATAAAACACAATTGAGTGCTAAAAGGCTTGCAGAGAACTAGAGTACAATCTTCAAGTAAAAAATAGTACACGCAGGACATAGATCTACCTCATAAGGAGACAGAAATTACCTTAGGCTCTATGTTTGAGGCCAAAAGCAAACAATGTCACAAGGTTGCTGGCGTTGAAATTTTCTAACATTCAGACTTCAACATAAATTAAGGACCATTTGCAAACACTCTTGAGTGGCCTTCTTGGGTCGACTTGCAAAAGGGCGTTCTTGGCTTGATGGCGCTGCCTCAAGCGGACAATGACAGAGCGTGACACTGCAAGCCTTCTGGCAACTTGTCGGGCTCCAACTCCATCCTGCAGCCATGCCATAGCTCTGGCACGATCAAAGTCTCTCAGCTTTAGTCTCGGTGGCATGGTGATGCCATACTGGATTTTGCGCAAACGGCGACTTACATTGCCACTAAAGCGAGCACAGTTCGAATCTGTACGTCCGTTTATGACGTACACTAGAAATTTTAACTGAAGAATGTCCATGGTGTTGCACACAAGTCAATAAAATAAAGCAAATTTGGCAAAAATTCCCCGGGGATTTCCGTGCTGCTCGAGGTGGTTTTGCTCCTTTAGGAATCTTTGCAGTACGGGTTGGTAACCCATTAACATTTTCAGAACAAAGAAATTTGAAACATTCCTTGAGGTCTTTTTTTCTGAATTTAAAAAAAATCAGGGCTGTCTGTTAAGGTGGTCCTTAACTTATGTTGGAAGTCTGTATTTCCGAGCTCCCTACCCAAAATTTCAGCAAAATTCCCTCACTACATTGGGCATTTCACTGTTTCTTTGTACACTTTACTACTTCACATTTCACACATCACATGGTCTGGTTAAGCACCCAGTCACCACTGTAGATTTTACAACCATCGGTTCTCAACTTTCCGCACTATGATTTTCCAATCACAGCCAGTCCACTCTTCGATGTTGTATTCCTACTGTTTCCCCTGTCCACCTCTTTGCTTCCCTTCTTGTGCTGTTCCCTACAGTATAGTCGTGGCCAGTCAGGGTGATTGTGTGATGTGCCTGTACCACTGTAGTTTGTGTCCTTTCCTTTAAACCAGGTCTTCATACCGCTCGATGGCATTTACAATTCTGGTTCTCACTACCTGATTGGCTATGTGATCTCTATACGAGACACCGAGGAGTTTGCAGAAACGTCTATCTCTAGTGTCTGCATCTTTTTTTAGACGCCTGCTGTCACAACTGATATTTGCATACAGTTAAATATTATACACAAATGAAAACAGAATACCAAAACTATACCTGTTAACAATTCCACTGATACCCCTCCAGCCCTTCATTTAAATTCAATATGTTATCACAGAACAGTGTTCTTTAAGTCTGATCAATAACCCTTACCTTCGGTAAAGGTTCCGGATTTGTTTCTTCTGCTGGAGTATCTTCTGACCCCTGTGGAAGGTGAAAGGTGGCAGTTCAGTAAATAGCAATCTACTTTGGAGATGAAATTCAATCACACAAAAACAGAAATGCTACCACTTATTCAACACTACGAATCAACTTCAGTCTTGAGGCCTGTATTTTCTCTTCTTCCGGGTAGCGAGTTCTGATTCAAATTTTTATTTGCAGGGTTCCGAGTTTGATGAATCCATCAGAAAGTTTGTTTTCCCTGTCACAGTACTTCCTACTTTGAATGGGCAAGTAGCATTCGGTCAAGACAGAATAAGTGAATGATAGCCCAATGCACTTAACAGAACACAACAATGCATACCTGTTTGTTTGAAAGGGGGGGTGGGGGGGGGGGGGGGGGGGGGGGAAGGAGAGCTGAAATTGTAAATCAAAAGTGCAAGCTTGCAAATAAAGTGATTGTGAAGTGAAGGGAGTTTTCAGCTGGACGCACAACTACAAATACACACTTCAGCCTGTTTTCTCTGAGAATATTCCAGCAACTTACCCCAGTTTCCGTATTATCATCCTCTGTGTCTTCCCCATGCACCGTGCTCGGGATGAAGGGAACCACCTCTGGGTTGGCCAGACCAGGGAAACAGATCACTGCCAGGTACCAGTGGGAGCTGTGGAATAGGGAATGTCAAATGTCGCATATCACATGTTGTACATTACATATGTGAGGCGTCATGGTGAAATCAGGCCCTCGTCAAAACGATGAAATCAAAGAAACGGGCATTTTACCTCCAGTTAGGCAATTTTTATTGAATGTTTGTTTTTATTCAACACCTTAAATACCCATGTAAAAACATATTTGCATGTGAATTTTACTGAAAAATGATTAATAGCACAATTATGTAAATTTTCAGTTTTCAGGAACTCTCAAGCTATAGAAGTCACTAAACTTTGGTGGCCATTTTCTTGCTAATTTTACCTCTGAAACCAGGCTACCCCCATATCCGTCAATCGCAAAAAATCTCTTGACTTCTATTCAAGATAGATGGGTATTCTTTTCGTTGAATGCAAGGCAAATGAATAAGCTCTCAGGTGATTTCAATAGCTCCATATGCCCAGAAATCGCAAGTGCCTGATTCCACTGCATCATGACACACATTGAGGCCTTTGTGATAATTACAAGCTGCAAGCTATTATTTCCTTTACTTAGCTCCCTTTACCATGGTAGCTAAAAGCTGCAGCAAGCAAGGTATATAGCTTCTCTTCCTCCTCAGATTTAAAGTGCATCATCAATTCATGACAGATGAACTATTATTACTATTTATAATCAATGAAGCTACTAAGAAATACAGAACAACACAAATCCTGAATTATGTTTTGTGTCTTTGTGCGAGTAAAGAGAAGCACATCGATTAAGTGTGGGGGGGAAAAAAGGATAGACAGAAGGAAGTAATAGAGGGAAAGAAAAGAAGTAGGACCTTATGGTGGCACCCTCAAGCCACCCGCTAAGGGAACAAACACCATCATGAGTCACAAACATCCAAGGGTCAGGGTTGCAGTAATTAACGAAACATCAAAGGGAAAATATCTTTGTGAAAATCAGTCACGGCTTTGGTCTCCACGTGCATCTCACTTGTGGAATTAATTTCTACAGACTGCGTTGGACCACTGAAGTTCTTCAAACCATCACAGTTAGAGTTAAAGAAAAGAGAAGCACATCAGTTCAATCCTGGCCATTTACAGCAAGGGAAGAGCAAGATAAAAACAATACAGTGAAAGAAAACAAGTAGGACCTAAAAGTGATGCCCTCTACCCACTTACTATTCACATAGTACTCATGAGAGCTATGGGAAACAGAGACCACAACACGATCAGAAATCACCTTGAGTAAATAGTAGTAGAAGTTATCAAAATGTCAAACATAAATCATTTGGACATTGGTCGTAGTCTTTACCTCCACAAGATACATTTCACTTAGAGAACCCATAAGTGCACATCAACTCAACAGCACACAGTAATAGAGTGGAGTACAAAAGACAACTCACTGTTCGTTGATTGGGACAATAATGAAGTCTTTGCTGAACAGGTCAACTGTTTTGGTCCATTTTTTCACACGGGCATGACGGCGCTCCGGCAAGCTGCAACCAAAGACAAAAATAAAAAGATGTAAGTATGAACAGGAATGTTTTTAAAATCATTTTGCCACATAAAAAAAAAAAATATTCATCCAGATATTTACCAAAGCTATCCCATCCCATTAATTGCCCCTTCCCGCAAAACTTTCTACCAAAAATTCCCAAATTTCCTGCTCAACAAAAAAACACAATATTTGCAGCCTAAGACCCCGATACTAGGGAGTCAGGAACAGAAGAGATGTTGACGAAGTGAGATCTTAGCTGAGATAAAATAATCCATGACCAAGTCAGTGATAACATCTCGAGGAGATCTGTACAGTGTAAAGTTCTGTTGAACATATCCACCAATCAAACTGAAACACATTATGGGTATGGTTACCTTTTCTTTGCGTCTTCCTCCGTCTTCCCAAAGAGCCTGTCTCGTTGTGTCAAGCGCTTGTAGAAGAAGGAACTAAAGATGTGAGTCCTTTTCCGATTTTCTTCATTGAGTATTTCCTCGTACAAATACCTGTTTCGTGGACAAAGAAAAGTTAAGAATTTTTATTTTTTTTAAATGTTTAAGTTTCGATAGGTTTGTGAGAACTAAATTGTTGCCAGAACTTTTTTTTAAAACCTTATCCTGCTTTACCGGATAAAACTGCGATCGAGCGCCAGCTATCCTGAGGGAAACTTCGGAGGGAACCAGCTACTAGATATCAAGTTCTACTTTCGTCTTCACAGAAAAGATAAATCTAAAGTTATGACTAAAACACTTTTAAGAAGACATTTCGTTGCTATGGCAAGGAAAATGAGCCTCTCCAAATCTCTCCACCCTATACAGTAGGGTCTCACAGCATTACTTTCTTGCCAGAGAAGCTCTGTACAGGAAAATGACAATATATTTATAAATAGCAGTATTCTTTTATCTAGACTTCACTTCAAGCAAGACAGCCATTAAAAAAGGTAGTCTTTTATAATCGCTGGTGGTATTACACATAAACACATCAATCTTACAAAGCTTTTCACAAGTTCAAAACTACAAGAGAGCTAATATTTTCTTCATAAACAAGTCCCTGAAAAACTATGCCAATAGTAGTAAATTCCGTTTGAAAGGAGAAAAATTGAAGTTTTCTTGTCTATAAGCTGTTCATATTTTAGAAGAAAAAAAATAAAGGCAATCTTCACAAAAGTTATATGTCCTCAAATGAAACAAAAATAGAAAATTTCATCACTTTTGAATATGACCTACAAGTATACTTAATGAAAAAATACCATAAACAATGAATTACGCTTCTTCGTCAGGTGCAATATCTGAAGGACATCAGCAAGGACGATTCGCTTGTCACTTTTCTACTCTGATGTTCTCAAAAGACCTATATTATGTGTCACAACACTGTGGAATCTGGCAACAGTCAATTTTTGGGCAAGCAGGTCTTTTGGTGTCATCTTAAAGCTTGTTCATTTGTCTTGCTTTTGATTTAAAAAATACCCATCCACCAGTAACAAAGATTGAGATATATGCTTTTGAATGACGCGGCGGTCGCCAAGTGTCCGAGGTAAAATTGGCAATTACCAAAGCTTGAGCTTTATGCCTTTGATCAACGATTTTAAGAAAACTCCATAGAGAGAAGTGTTTTTAAACGGAGGTAAAAGGTCAGAAACGCGGAATGAAGAATTGGAGAATACTGCAACAACAGGCAAGTTTGATAGAAAGAGAGGCAGAGGCAGACAGAGGGAAAAGATACTGGACAAGTTGACAACATTGCTTGGAGCAGCAAGGAGGTCCACGATCGCCCACGACAGTCGGCAAGGCACCGGATGATGATGAAAAGGTGTTGAGCAAACAAAATTTTGACAAAAAGTGCCTAACAGGCAGGAAAATTTGTCTGCTTTTTCGATTTCACAAAATTTCGACAAGAGTCTAATTTCACCACGATGAAATACATATGTGAGATGTGCTGACAAAATGAGTTACTTCTCACGATCCCAGAATGGAGATATCGGCTGAAAATCGACACTGGGGTCAGATTTATAGATGTTCAATTGATGCCATTTTGTTCAAGTTTACTATGTCTTTTACTATTCCATGCTCACAAATTGTACAAACTTCACCTATCAAGTTGATGTATCAATTTCCATAATGCTCAAATCCGAGAAGTAACTCATTTTGTCAGCACACCTCACATATTATCCTGGTTTTTACGTACTGTAGGTAAAAGTCAATGATGACATCATTGAGGAACTCTCCCTCGGTCAGACAGTAAAGGTCCTCTGTGGTGATTGGGATGCCTCGAGCTGGTGGGAATGGATACTGCAGCAGCCTGGGAAGGGGGAATAAGACTTGATAAAACGTAAACTGAGACAACCGTATATTATAAGAATATGGCAAGTGATACTTTGGACAACTCTTCAGGAATTAGTTTGAGGCTTTGACTGCGAAACTAAATACTTCACTGTGATCTATCAAACTCAAACTGTGAAAACAACTACTTAATGACAGTAAAAGAGTCAGGAGCAAAAAAAAAAATTGGTAATGTTAAACATCACAAAAATTGAATTATATAACAGAGACCAACACTATTGCCAAATGTATATAAGATCAAAGAAAATATTCAGTCCCACTATTTTCTGTATCTAATGTGAATTCTCGAAACATTTGCTAAACAGAAGTAAACACATTCTTTGTATATTTGCCAGGCCAATGTGCACATGAGACCCAACAATATTCAAACCGAAGAGACAGCCACCCTTATTCTCAGGAAACGTAGCTAGCATCCAAGGTACTAACCCCTCAGCTAGCCGTAAGACACAATGTCAAAGTGCTATGAAAAATAGAATTACCTGACGGAAGGTACGTCAAAGAGCTGTTTCTGCTCTGGTGGAGAGCTGGATGTGCTGTCTGGCTCATTATCCATACTGTCCGAGGGGCTGTAAGATGGCCCGGATATATTGGACAGGTCTTGGTTCATCCTGTTGTAACTGGAGGAATATAATCGTACCGTTTCAGAACAAGAACATAACCTCTCCTTCTTGAAATGGACAACTAACAAACCACTCCTGCCCATCATTTATCTACATGCATTTAAAAAGAAAAATAGATATGAAAGAAAGAAATGTTTAATTTTATACCTCCCCACCTTTCGAAAAAAAAAAGCCAATTAAAAAGGACTTCCCTTAAAAACAATCAGACGAAATATATTGCAAAAAAAAATAGCATTGTGAAAATAATTACTTCCCTTCAAAACTCTTAAGATTAATGAAAGATTTCCTTATTTCCACTTGACTATTCTGAGTATACTATTTCTAATGTGTGTCATTCCGACCGATTTCAAAGAAAAGGGGCCTTATCTTGACTCAACTTATATCACCCCCCCATATCTTAGCCAATGACAACTGTATTCAACTTCTTCAAAAACAAAAAAGCAAAAAATAATTAAGTCAAAACCCATCAATCAAATTTGAACAATCTTCTTCAAGTGCCAGATTTGAAACACCTCCGTGATCATGGTTTGCTACTCATTTTTCTGCTCTGATGCTTTCAATATACTTATACTATGGGGGCTCTCGTGGTCAAGAAGTTAAGGTGTTGGCCTCTCATTCAAAGGTCCCGGGTTCGAATCTGGGTAGCGGCCGAAAAATTTTCTTCTCTAAAATTGTCTCCTTTCACCTCCTTTCCTGCTCGCTAGTAATATTCTGTAGTCTGCTTTCGTCTCCTCTTTCTGCCCCCACCCCCTCACCTCCTTTGCCCCTTCTTCTGGGCTCCTGACTCTTTCTGCAGCCTTTCTACTGCTACTCCTTGACTCTTTCTTACAGCTGTCTTTCTGCCACACCCCTGACCTTCTGGTAGGAAAGATCTACACCTAACCTTCTCGGACAAGGGCGAAAAATCTCAGGAGGGCCCGTGTGCAAGTTGCGCATGTTAAAGATCCCCTGGTGGTCTAAAATCGATAACAGTAGGCTTCGGCCGCCACCAGCGCAAAATTCAAAATTTCCTACCAACTAAAAGTATTAGGTGTGTCCCGCGCGGTCATATGACCTTATGCAGTTGCGAGCGCCGTAAAACCCTCTACTATAAAAAAAAACTTATACTATCATAAACTTTCCCCCTGCATTATTTGCTCGTTCTATTAGTTACTTATTCTTGGTCTAACTTTGCCTCTTTAGCCTTTCATTTTTCCAGTGAGAGCAAGAACATTATCTCATCCAAAATTTTTATGCAAAGAGCAACACAGACCATTGATCACACAGCCCGCAATAACTACAGAACAAACAGTCAACAGAGCACATACAGAGCCCATACAGACCATAGACCGCAGAGCACAAAACCCACTGACCTCTTCTTAAACTTCACCACATCCCGCTCCGTCTCAGCCCCGTGAGTAAGGACGGGCGGTGCGGACTGTATGAGCAGGTCATTAGCACTGTCAGGACACAGCTCCTCACTAAAGTTGTTGTCGTCCATGCTGTTGATGTCTGCCCACAGGGAGATGGTCTCGCGGATCATGTCTACAGGGATGTGGTCACGGTCTTCGATGATCACCACCACCATCTTCTGTCTCATGTCTGGGAGAAAACACAAAGCAGGTAATTTTGAAGTAAAGATTGCAGGTGGGGGAGAAAGTCTCAATTTGGACAAACATACACAGGGCAATTTTGAGTGTAAAACGGAAGTGGGGGGGGGGGGGGGGGGTGTTGGGGATGAACCTCAAGGTTCACTCTCATATTTATTCATGTGTGTGCATAATAAACCCTGTGCTTGTCCATATTAGTATTGAGAGAGGAGTGTGTGTATGAGTGGGAGAGGGGGGTGAGTGTAGAGGGAGTGAGTATATGGGTGGGAGAGAAAAAGAGTGTATTGGTAAGAGAGGGAGTGAGGGTATGAGTGAGAGAGAAATAGTATGGGTGAGAGAGGGAGTGAGATTATGGGTGAGAGAGAAAAAGAGGGTACGGGTGAGAGAGGGGCACATTGTCAATCTTTTCCAATGTAACATCAGAAAGTATATTTCATCTTATCTTTCCCATGTCCATCTTATGTCATCAACCCACCTGTACTGGAGGGATCAAAGTACTCATCATCCCCCTTCTCCATGTGGAAGATGCTACGCAGTTTTTCACCACACTCCATGGTCAGGAAGAAGAAGAGCACCCGCTGGGATTCTCCAAAGCAGAACTTCACTTTCTCCACTTCATCAGACAAGATCTCACATTCGTAAACTTCCCCGGAACTCTCAGCTGTAGGGAGGGACAAAACCAACCTCATTACAGTGCATTCTATAGTTATTGCTTACCAGAGTAACTCATTACAGAGTAACTCATCACTGAAACAAATACCAAAACTAATATTAATTTAATTAAAGAGAAAGGCAAGACACCTAGACAGGGCAAAAAAAATTATTGGGGTTTCAGTCAGACTAACAACAACATAGGTCTTCAAACCCAAAGTGACAAAATCTGGCTCCTGAACCCTATAGCCCTACAGTCTCTTTCTCATTCCCCCCCCAAAAAAAAAAAAAAAAAAAAAAAAAATGAACAATGAACAAACTAGACAGTTTATCTGGTCCTGTATCCAATCAACTATATCTGCCATACCAATTGCTGCGAGCTTGAATCTTCTAAAAGCAAAAGAAACTGATGGAGTGACAAAATGTGCTGTATGCCTTTAATCCTGAGTGAGCATCAGGACACACCATGACGTGCCCAGGTTGTTTCAAGTTTCAAACAAAGATCATTACGTTTTAGAGATTTACTCATTGGCCCAAGCCATAATTCACAACGAAGAGCACAGGAATTTTCTTAACAACTTGACTTGACTAATGTTGGCATTACTCCACCAGCCTGTGGCACAACAAATGTTTTTCTAAGAGCAAACTGACTAAAAGGGCTCTGTGCACAGAGGGTGCTAAAGTAGACACTGCATGTGAAGTAGAGAAGAAGACTGTCACTATCTGATTGTTTTCCTTTTTTATACATCGGGAGGGTGGGGATGGGTTGGGGTAGCTGAACAACAAATAAATTTTAAATATCAAGAGTCAGGGGTGTTACGATAGTGTCTTTGTAAGAATGAAATTAATATATCATGATTCCACCAAATTCATAATGATGGGCAGCCCTGAAGCAACCTATACAGTCTACATGTAGAGATAACTAGCGCCTAGTAAGTGACAGAAGATTGTAAAGTCAGTATTTCATTCATATTCTATTTCACTTTCATTAAGGTTTATAAGATATATCATCAGGTTTTTTAGGTATGTGTATTTTGTTTTTACTTTAAAAGAAGAGAAGCATATCAACAGTCATTTAGTGCTGAGTTAAAGTAAGACAGACAGATTCAACAAAAGTACAATAAGGAGGTACAACTTGCTGGTGACGTCCGCCAGCCACCCAGCCAAGGGTACTTACATTTAACTTTCATGCAGACACCCCTCACATTCATGAACAACGGTCCCTCGGCTATGGTCCTCATGGAACCAATCCTCACGCTGCGTATTTCTATTTCGTAGATCGGAGGCTCTTCATCATCCTCATCCTCTTCATCTTCTTCCTCCTCTCCCTCTCCTTGTTCTATTCGAGGTGATGGGACGACAGTGTTGTTTAATTTCTTCGACAGTCTGCTTCTGCCATCCTGCGATTTTAAGTGGGAGACCATTTCTTATCAGTTTATATGTTTTGGTACAGAGCAGCATATCCAAATAATAACAGTGATTCAGTGCTGGGTAAAAACCAGAAAGACAGAAACAATAAATGGAAAGAAAAATGTAGTAGCCCTCTAACCATCCGCTCTCCATCAGACACTAAAAAAAAGTTCGGAACATTTAGACTCTTGAAAAGCATTTAACCTTAGTTCCAGCTAACTGAGCACTTTAAAAAAAACAGGGTGTTTCCCCCCCCCCCCCCCCCCCCACAGAATATTTCAGTATTATTATTTATTTCGTCACGCTTTCAAAAAGAAAAATCATAAAGCAACTTGCAGCTTTGTGTTCACAAAGATGAACAAAGTCTCCAACCCCACATCATCAGATTAAACGAAGAATGTAACAACTACGACATGAAGATCAACATCAACAAAACAGAGACAATGAAAGTAAGCAGAAAGCCAGAACCACTCAGGATACACATCAACAACAACAGTCTCAGACAGGTCCAAAAATTTAAGTAATAATAATAATAATAATAAATAGCATTTGTATAGCGCATATCCCCGCTCAACAGAAGCTCTATGCGCTTTACATTATATTATTACCCCAGCAGACCATAGAACACTCCAAAACATTATCAGCTTCCCGGGAAGCATACAGTGCAAGCAGCTGATTAAGCGCTCAAACACTAACAAACTGACAAGATCTTTCGCTGTCTATGGGCGGGTACCCATTCCCACCTGGGTAAAGTGAGGAAAATTCGTGTAAAGTGCCTTTCCCAAGGACACGTCGGGTCCCTGACGAGATTCGAACCCACGACCTTACGGTTGCAAATCCGAGAGCCTAACCACTAGGCCACCGATACCACAAAAGTACCTCGGAAGTATATTCACAGAGGATGGACGATTGAACAGAGAAATTGAAACAAGAGTGCAAAAGGCCAATAATGTTAGTTACCAGCTAACTCCACTACTGAAACATCCTAACATCCCCATGACAACAAAACTCAAAATGATCAACACCGTATTCATCCCTACACTCATCTATCAATGCCAAACATGGACCACGAACAAGACAATAGAGCAAAGAATTACAACATGTGAAATGCGATGCCTTAAAAAAGCAGTAAACAAGACCTGGCAAGACAAAATTAGAAACTCTGTAATCCGAGAAATGGTGGGCACAAATGACGTCATGCGTCACATCCAACACCAAAGAATCAAATGGTTCGGACATCTCCTACGATTACCAACACACCATCCAGCACAACGTGCCTGCATAAAAAAATTTGATGGCAACAAGGCTAGAGGGCGACCGAGAAAGACCTGGATAGATGGAGTCCGGGAAACATTAACCACCCCCGGCATCCCCCTGACCCAAGCTCTCCGGCTGGCGATAGAGAGACGTATCTTTCTTCCCGTGACACCCAAAAGGATATAAGTGGCGGATAAAAGTAAAAGTAAGTAAACTTGTGTGCAAACAAAAAATGAACATAAATGGACAAAACACACACACAACTCAGCAGATAACCAGGCAGCAGATTGTAGGCAGTAACTTAAACTTACCTCGTCCTGCATCCGAGCTCGTCTAAAACGACCAAAAGCATTGACAGGCTCTGACTTGAGGTGAGGGAAGACGGGCGATTCTCCGCCCGAGGAGTGAGCTGGACTGGGCATGTAGCCGGGCATTGAGTTTGAGGTCGATGACGGCTCATCTTCATCAGATGAGATGGTCACAGTCACTGGGAGATAGATAAAAAGTCAAGTTTTAGTTTTAATAAGAGTTTTACTGCACTTGCAACACAATTAGGTCATGTAAGTGCCGAAGATTAGAGGTGTTATTAGATAGTAATATACAAACAAAAGAAGGAGGAGAGATAAGGGCGATAGATGTTTGTAGAAAAGAAGAAGCAAATCACACCAGAGCACGCGCCTACCACCGACAGATTAAAGTCGACTAATCGGGACAAAATGTTCACTGTCAGTGAAGAAAAGAAAAAAGTAAGCTCATCTGAACAAAGTTGGTTACTGGACACAAGAAAAAAGTTGACTCGATCAAAATAGTGACAGTCACTGGGGGCTAGATTAACCCTCGTCCTGAGGGAGCCGGGTTTATGTAGCCCGATAAGCCTATTTCCGCATCTCACCTACGTTCTGGTCCCGAGTCAGTGTAGCTCCTGGCTCAGCGCACGCGCATCCTCTTACGTGTCATTCGGGTCCCGAGTCGGATCCCCATTAACGCAGGTCAAGTGTGTGTGCGTCAGTCTGCTTCAGTTTGTGTGCGTTTGTGGCCTTCTTCTAGAACCACCTGCGTTGGTTCGTAATCGAGCCATACGTCTCATTCAAAACATGCCAAGTTGGTAGCTCTAAATGTTCGTCCAATGAAATTATAGAAGAAATTGACCCACTTAGCCATGAGGAGCTCGAAAGGATAGTCAGGAAACAAGACTTCCATTTTTCTATACAAAATCTTTCAAATGAGCTTGATTTTGTATGAAATGATACTACCTGATAAAAAATAAGCTTGTTTGATAGTTTTTAATTCCATTGTGCAGGTACAAAGAACAATTTGAGTGTAAAACGTTCGGAAATTGACCTACATTATCCCCTTTCGAACCTCAGGTCATTCATAACAACAAGAGCGTCCAGAAAGGTTATTCAAATGGGCGTAACTACTCGTAATGTCTTATCAGCTTGTGAGAGGGGGTTATTCATGTGTTTGTAACACTTTATAAATAGAAAGCTATGAAAGATAGAGCGTTATTTTCATCATCGGTTAACACACTCCCACGGTAGTCATGGTGAAAACACACGTTTCCCGGCGCGCGCGCTGTGCACTTAAAGTACACACTGAAAGACCCCGGCGGCCTGCCCGGCACGTCCGACGTAAACGGTTGCTGATGAGATCTGCATCTCGGCACAGACGCAGGACAAGAGTTAAAGTAAAGACATTAGACGAAATAATCAGTCATTACGCGCAAGATAAAAGTAAACTCATTAGATGAAATAGTACTAGTCACTGGAAGATAGAGAAAGGCAAATACAATGTTACTGGGTTTTTTCCACTCATTTGAGTCTTTTAGCCTTAATAAACAGATGCACATTGACAAAACAACGTTCAATTAGAGCTGAGAAAAAGACAGACACACAGACAGACACACAGAAGATTTTCCTTCACAAAATGAATAATATCTTTAAAACATAAGCACAATGTCTACATCAAACCTAACAAGCAAAAGGAACCTCACCTGGCTCATCCACTTTCTTGGACCGTTTACGAGGAGCAGGGTTCTTCGCCTTTGGTCTTCCAGCTCGTCTTTTCCCTTGCCCATCAAGACTGTTACCCGAATTTCCGTCAGAGGATAGTCCGTCCATATCACCTGAGTCACTGTCGTAGTCTTCCCCAACTGCAGCGACAAACAGGCAAAAATCTGTTCAGTGTACACATCAGGACATGGTGACATTACCACCAAAGTTTTTCGCTTTAAAAACAAATATGAAAAGTATTGACCTAAATGACATTGAATTTCAAAATATATGTCCAGAATTTGGTACGAAAAGCATGTCTCGACAAAGGTTAAAAATACTTCTTTTAATCAATTTGAGTTGAAAATACGTGACTACACCAGACCTGCCACTCTGTGAAACCCCAAAATCAGGATCTCAGGAGAAAAAATCGGGATTTGGTGAAAAAAATCGGGATCAACAGCAAATCACAAAGGTGACTGCCAAAGCTGACCTAAAATTTTTCCAGGGGTGTTCATAAATTCCTTGGCCTATAATTTTGTCCTCTGTGAGTCTTTGTTTGTTTGCGTGCCTGTGTATTTGCGTGTGTGTGTGTGTTTGCGTGCGCCTGCGCGTGAGCGTGTGTGTGTGTGCATGCGTGCGCGTGCGTACGTGCGAGTTATCATTATTTTTTTTGTAAATCCTGAAGCATCGCGTCAAGTACTCCTAGTCCAAGTGTCTACACAACCCCTCCCCCCCCCCCCCCTACGAATAAGTCGCGAAATACATAAACTTAAGTTGACCCCGTCAACTGACGGTCCCCGACACGCAAAACTCAAACGGCGATAATATGTCACGTGACGCGAATGCGCGATTGAAACAGTTTTACTAAAAGGTCCAATTAACAGCACGTTCACACAAAACACTCTGATGAGTAACACTCGTTCTACTTCTAGAAAAACCAGGCGGCCGGCCGACCAAATGTACCAACAAATTTCTTATCCCTCATGTGTTCACACTAAAGCAACTACAACGGCCGTATGTTAGTCTTGTCAGCGCAGTTACATGTAGTTGTGTAAGGGTTAGAAAGACGGTTGCTGGTCCGAGTGTTTAATGTGAACGCGCAGTTACCAGACCTCGGACAAGGCTTTTTTTAAAAAGTAACAGCGGAACTTCGAATATTATTGATTATTAAATGTCCCAAATTGTAACAGTTACCAGACTATCATCGGAGCGTTCTGAGAGCAGGAAAAGATCACACACAACTTGGGGCGGGTCAACTACTAAATGCGGCATCGATATTTAGCGAAATAGTGCTCCGAGACTTTCCTACTGACAAAAAGTTCGACGGGAGCTTCCCGCGATAAAGGAGAAGGCAGAGTAAGTTTTTAGAAAGATCCGGCACATCAGCAGACTGGGACAAAAAATCGGGGTACACAAGATCAAAATCGGGAAAATCGGGAGGATTTAAATTTGGGGCAAAAAATCGGGATATCCCGACTAAATCGGGATGAGTGGCAGGTCTGCTACACAATGATGGGCAAGGGCAACTAAAGAAAATTAGGTACTTCAGAGTGTTGGCAAATTATTTGACATGACCAAGATTGGCAATTGAGAGCAAAAAAACGTAGGTCCAAGCAAGTTTGTGTCTCATAAAATCATACCAAAGAGCACGCATAATAGGAGCTGACATTGGATGCCTCAATTTGGCAAGTTATGTAACCTCTTCATGGTTAAATGGACAGTAGTTTCATCCCTACATGCACGAGGCATACATGTTTTAACCCTACATACACATATAGTTTCATCCCTGCCTTCAGGACAAGACAGAAAGCACCACACACACACACACCAGACTCACCTGGTGCCCTGGCTCCATTCCTCCCCTTGAGCCCACCTCCTCTCGTCCTGCCAGGCCCACCCCTGGCCCCCCTCCCCCGGCCTCGCACGCCAGAGTTCCCGTAGAACGACACGCTGTTCATCACATTCTGGACACCGCCCACAGATCTCTTGTTCCACGACTCCCCCTGGGGGTGAGAGTCCTGCCCGGATGGCGAGGAAGTCCCCAGCGAGGAAGGCGAAGCAGACGTGCCTGTTGTTTTTCCTGCTGGGTTTTTCTTCAGAGAGTGGATCTTCACCTCCCCCTGGAATATCCTCTTACATCCCTCGCACCGTTTAAAGTTGCGACTTGTGTACCCGCAGAGCTTGCACACTCGGAAGTGCTCTTCGTTCTGGTGAGAGTCCGAACAGAACATGTTAAGACATTAAAAATAGCACATTAAGACAAAGTTGTCAAACAAATAAAGGAGACAAAACACTCCCGTTAAATAACAGGTTTCTACGTCCATTTACTGTGAAAACCGAGTACAACATAGTATTGACACATATGCCCTGCATACTGTGTCAAAGCCTGGAGACAATGTGATCTGTGTTCTTTTTTCAGTTTGATGCTAAAAAAATAAGGTATAAAACATTTTAGCCAGGAGAGTGAATCTTTGAATCCCATTTTCTCAAAAACTATGCATCATGAAGTAAGAACCCTGTCATTCTTAGGGCAATGATATGACTGGCAAGATGATCATTCTCTTTGTACTTCTTTGAAACAAAATTTTAATAAAAGAGACTCTCAAATTGATAAAAACAAAATATAAAATTGAAACCCACTCTCAAAAAGACATTAACGATTGACACAAAATTAAAAAGCACTTACAACGTGACACAAGCATTTTAATTAATTCAAAACTTTCTCATAATAACAAAAGAAAGCTAATGAATTTAAAACTCTACATAAAATGACAGAAGCCATTTAACACTTACAGTACTGAAGGCTCATATAGTAAAAAAAACCTAAAGTACCACACCAGTTTAGAATGCTGAACCCATGGTAGAGTCTTTTTTTTAATTTCTAAAACCTTCACAGCCCAAGAAACATGCTTTAAAAATGCGCAGAGTTCCATCAACCATTCATCTATTGCATAGAGTGACTTCCTTTGGTATTTACTTCAGTGCAATGGTTCCGTTCGTTGTTTGAATATATGTAGTGTGCCTGGTCGAGTCTCCGACTAAAGTTGCCAGCGGTAATAAGCGCATAATACAGCCTGGTGACTAAAACTAAAGTCACCGACGCTACTAAAAGAGTTAATAAAATCAAAATTCTCTCCAAATAACAGAAGCGCTTTAATGATTTATAAAATTTCTTTAAAATATAAAGCTTTTTAATGATTTTAACTCTTTCAAAATTATGTGTAACAGAAATAAAAGAATAAAAACCCTCCCAAAATGACAAGACAATTTGAAAAACTTAAAAACCACTCAAAATGAACAAAGCAATCAAGTGCAGAGGACATAACGCAATGAGATAGATGATCTGCAAACTCACTTCACTCAAAGGTTTCTTAAATATAGAATCATCATCATCATCATCTTCTTCTTGTGCCGGGCATTTTTCTTGAGTGCCACCTGCAATTTAAAAAAAAGTACAATTCTTCAATGAAGTAAAGAGGAACCATCATCATCAACATAAATTGATAGATCTGAAACAAGACATCCGCTATAATGATTCTTCATTCACTTCTCTGCTCAGATGCTCTCAAAAAACCTATATTATCCTGGTGTCTCCCCATCACCCTTCTGTTCAGGTTTTCTAAATAAGTTTCTCAAAGTCTACTTGTGCCTCATTTGCCTTCTATTTTTCCGGAGAAAACATATGTTCAAAGCCTTAACGTAGATTAAAGTGTACTAGAAACTATTTGCGGTTTCTAATTGTTCTTATTAGTGAGCAGCCCATGAAAGCTTCTTTTAATACTTCCTCATTTGATTTCTTTTCTTTCCATGAAATTCTCAAAATCTCCTGAGAACTGTCATTTCTCTTGCTTCTATTCTATTTTCACTGTCTGTGGTAATTGTCCAGCATTCATAGCTGTATAGAAGGGTTGACCACACATAGCCTTATTGAACCCTAATTTTATTTGCCATTGAGAAGTTTTTATTTTTCAGGACTGGCATGGACTCAATTTTTTGAAGCTGCCTTTAGGTACTGAGGTTTTTCATTTTACTTCTGTGAAACTTTTGGCATAATCAAAAAGACTACCTTTGCCCACAAGATTGTTTCTCTCAAATCTAAACTTCTGTAAAAAACCCTCTATTATCAGTCTTATCTTTTTATTGGAAAAAAAAATTCATGAATATGTGTTTTTCAAATAGACCTTTTAACTTGATAGGATGAAAAGAACACCAGTAGAAAGAGTTGTTCGTTTTGTTTTGTTTTTTATTTCATTTTCTTTCCTTCTCTTCTCTTTCCACTAAACTAATCGTAATTATTAGTCCACCATCAAAGCAGCATAGTAGTTTTGAAAAAAACAATAAGCCTTACACCCTAAGCATTCTCGTTTCAAACTTCCGACATTATAATATTACTTTGCACTTATAGGTTGCACACTATATTAATAAATGTGGGGCTCGTGGCCAAAGAAAGCTTTGATCTCAGTGCTCTAATAAAAGAAAACGGCCAACTGCTACAGATGTTCTTGATTACTGCGAATATTTTACATCCCTATCGACACAACTTAGATCATTTACGGGGCAGGCAGCTTCAATCCTGCAAGTAAGGGCCAACCCAATCTGAGTGGCATATAATACCCCAGCAGACCGAGATGCTCAATAGAAAATCTTCCACAAGCAGAAATCGAACTCGCACCCTCTGCATGCAAGGACAGAGAGCCTAAACACTACATCACAGATGCCAGAGCTACAAATGAGCCTTCTATCAAATATGCTTGGTGATAAGACCAAGTGTCAAAGAACAGGAAGAGTCCAGCGCAGTATTCATGAGTTAACCAGAAACCATTGACGCACCTTGAGGAGGTAGAGGCTTGACAAACGTAGACTGGCCGCTTCCCTCACTTGCTTGTCTGGAGATAAATCAAACAAAAATAAATCAAAAGATTACTTTTTAGCTTAGTACATGTACAGTTTGGCTATAATTTCTTGAAACAAAGAAATCTACACAACCAGGTGAGTCAAGTGAGGACTAACTTCTTAGCAAAAGACAAAAAACCCGACATGTTATCTATGTATAGTATAGTATATAGGAGACGGTTTTACGGCGCTCGCAACTGCATGAGGTCATATGAGTGCCAAGGGGTGGGTGTCAACAGAGAAGTCTTTACAGGGAATCAGACTTAGACTGCTCACCTCTCTAGCTTCAACAGCACAAGGCTGCTTCGACTATCAAGGCACCCCAAAATAGCAGGTCACAAGAGAGTGACAAACATACAAAAGAAGTAGAGGAAAATCACAATAGTAAGGATCAGGAGAGAAAAAGCAGCAGTTCCCTGTTGTAGATCAGGCACAGTTATGAGGGTGACATGATTAAAATCATCCCATTTACAATTCTACTATGCTTGAACGAGAAATGTCCCCCCTTTGGGAATGGCCTAAAGACACGTCAGTCAGTGGCACTGCCCTGGGTGGTTTGTTATCTATGCCTTTGTGAAAAAAGCCCTTGGGTCAAATACAATACCCCACACCAAGGGAGTCAAACTCAATTTCACAGGGGGCCATATTAAAATCATCTGGATGTTTGGCATTTTTTCTTGATAACAACAAGCTCCTTTATGTTTGGAGTCAGGTTCTGTATTATGGAGATCTTCAGAATGGACCAGGAATCTGTTTCTGTATTGTGGAGATCTTCAGAATGGGTTAACGGGAGGAGCTACCCTTGAGGATCATTTTCTATGTTTGTTGCGCGAGATCAAATCTAAGTGCACATATAAGTTAGACATAGTAAAATCTCTTGATACGCAATTTCCTTTTGGCATAGCTACAGCAGTTGCTATGGAAACAGCCGCCATCTTGAAAATAAACAATGAATTTCAAATCCCTAAGGCTTTCTTATCTACAGACCAGATTTGACCAAATTTGGTGAGAGTATACCTGAACCAGACCCTATCAGAGTAACAGCAAGTTTTTTTTCAATAAGTGCAAAAGAAAAAAGTATGAGAATTTTCCCAAAGTATAAAAAAACTTTTTCTAATTTTTTCTAAATTTAGGTTGCGTAATCACTTGCCAATGGAAAAGTATTATTTTTTTCGCAAATATTTCTCTGTTAAATTGATGGCATCTATGTTACCTGAAAGGATGAAAACTAAGGAAGGAGTAGGGAAAAAACTGCAAAAAAATTACAATTTGCGAAAACCGACAATAATTGTGAAAATTCACTACACTAATCCATCCTCATGATTTTTAAGGCAATTTACCTGGAGAATAAGGTCTTTCTCAATTGTATCCATGCTATTTTTAGACAAAAAACAGGTTGGTCTTAAAAAATAAGCCAACATAAAATGTGCATAGCCTGACCCAAAATCTGCAAAATCAAGGGTCCCTCCTCCCCTAAACTAAAATCCATAAACATACAGTCAGGCACAGAAACTCAAACACATCGGGGACTTAAACAAGTGTTCGACACATACATGATTCAGGTAAATCTTGTAGCGAAAAATTAAAGAGATACAAGTCGGGGACTTCAAGTTAGACCCCTATTATTTGTACAAATTACCTGAGATTTCGAACTTTCTGTGTTTTGTGTTATTTATCTGAGTCCGTCTGTATTTGTTCACCAACTCTGGTCCGTGGGTTTGACACCTGTGCCCTGCATCGTGTCAGGAAGGCTGTTAACCTGTAACTCACTTTCCCTGCCAGGCTGTTGTTATTGATGTATGACTTCACTGGACTGCCATCTCCAGTGTTTTGAAGGCAAGTCTGTGCAATGTTATATTGAGGTTTATGTCTATACTTTACACTATCTCTTTAGCTTCTGTCAGTGCTTCTCCATCTGGAATTCTCCCTGAGGTGGTAAATAACTGTTGCCCCTTCAATGTACTTCTCGAACTTCTCTTTAATCTAATCATTTATATTCAGAATAATCTTATTAAAGATTCACCCACAACGCACCTGTTTTGAGCAATCGTATCTCCTGTCTCTGCCTGAGTAGTACTAGAATCTTGACTAGATGTAGCTTGCCCATCAGTGCCACTGCACCTAAACAGAAAGTAACATTACACATTTGTTGAGAAAATGTACATGAACACACAAAGCAACTGTCAAGGCTTATCCAAACAAACAAGGTACAACAGCTTACCATATACATTACTCTAAGAATGTTCATGATCTTGTTCCTCTATCAGAATTGTTGCATCAAAAAAGATCTTGATAACATTGACTAATTCATGACTTGTCAGTAAAAGAGCGTCCTGCCCATCCATAAAGTTCAAGAAAAATCAGAAGATCCCAAAAGAATTGTTTCCGTTTACTGATTAGTATTTCACTTCTTTTCATTTGCCATTTACTTTAAAGGATCCTTCGTCTTTCTGACATAGCAGCTTGACTGATTTTCCCTTTTGGACAAAACCTTAGAAAAATAGACACTATCAACAAGACAGAAAGAAAGTCAAAACAAACAAGCCACAAATGTGGCAAGATTGTGCAACTGAAGCGTGCACTTCAAGTGAACATAAACACTCTGCCCCCTCATCCCACACCAATGAGTCTACATAACAAGAGGGGCCACTTCTCTCTTTGAGCCAATTAAAAAAGTGTCCTCAAAATTCGGTGGCGCCCTCTTCGCAAAACTTGAGTTTTAAAAAATCAAAGTGAAACTAGCAAGTTTTTGAATGAATTTCGGAAGAACGCTTTTTTAAAATGGTTACGCTGACAAAAAACCTCTTCCGGAGGAAAGAGTGATTGTTTTCTTCGTTTAATTTGACTTTAGAATGAAAGGCGAGAGGTTATTAAAGTATAAATAACCTAAAACTCCGCACTGAACGAACCCGAACTGCTGATGAACAGCAGTCGATCTGCGCACGCAAGGAGGTGCTATTCCTATTTTTCTTCTGGAAAAACGAAAGAGAGCTTCAAAACAGACTGCAGCGCCATCTGAAGCAAAGAGCATACTTCCTGCGGACACTTTTTTGGCTGAGTGGCCCATCTTGTTATTTACTATCTTTGTCCCACACATAATCCCACTAAAAGTATAATTATAATAAAACAGAAAAAAAAAAGAAAACTTCTTATAAAGATATCTCAAATCACTGAAAACTTTTTCAAATAGTACATCCTACTATAAACGAACACCAGAACCTTCATCTGGAAGTAACTTCACAAGACATCACCTGTCTTCGTACCTGGGCGGCACCTGCTGTGTTGGCTGTACTGAAGCCACATTGGGAACATTACTGCCAGCCTGGGTACTGGTCTGCATCATTTGACCAGGCAGACCTGACGTCGAAGTGGCAGCATTTGCTGGCATGGCCGAGGGAAAGGGGAAAAACTTAACTTTACTTCATGGAAAGTCTAAACAAGTGAAGTTAACTTTACTACATGGTAGGACTAAAGAAAAATATTTTACTTAAAACAAAAGGACTAACAAATAAACTTATTAATTTATTACATGAAAAAGTTAAACAAATAACCTTTACATTTAACATGAAAAGATTAAAAAATAAGCTTTATTTATTATAGGAAAATATTAAGGGGGAGTGGGGGGGGGGGGGGGGGGGCTACACCCCCAAAGTAAAAATTTGGCTCAAAATCATGGAATTTGAGTTGTAGGCATTTTTAGCTTCCTCAGCCTCTCCTACAACTATTTCATCGCATAAGAACCCCCAAAAACCGTATTTTTTCCCATATCGGGCATGTTTGTGACCGCCATTTCTTCATAAAGTCAGTATTTTATTTTTCTTTATCAGCCGTTTTCTCAAAACGCGACTTTTCTCTATACTTTTTTGAATAACTCCACCATTTTTCATTCAATCTTCATGAAATTTTCACAGAATGAAGAGAAGAGGTAATACTAAAAATTTGTCTGTTGAATTTTTGATATATGAAATAGATTTTTGTTGGTGGTGTCAGGAGTGTGGATTTTCACGGATTTTTCACAAACTTGAATGCTACCTCAGGAAAAAATTCATTAAAAATTTTCTAATTTGTTTAGGAAAAAAACAACAAACAAATTTTTAGATCTAATGTTTGTGAACACGCAAGCAAAAAAACCAATCAATTTCCATGAGCAATAAGTGCGGTATTCATTACGTAAGACATATGGCGGCGTATCCATGGAAACGAAACTTTTTTCTCAAATTCGATTGCGGATTTTATGACTCCTTACTATGCTTGTTATATGAGTGAAATGTGGTAAAATTCGGTCCAGTAATAAGCGAGATAGCCTCCAGGTGTAGCCCCCCCCCTCCCCTTAAACAAATAAACTTTTTACAAGAAAGGGTGATAAAGAAACTTATAACAGGATTTAACAAATAAACTTATTACAGAAAGGATTTAACAAATAAACTTAGCTCTGCTACAAGGAAGGACCAAGACTTCACGTAAATGTGACGGGTCAGCCAACAGGGCCATCAAGTCAGGCCAGTGAAAGGCAAACAACAACATAGTGGAGTAAAGTGGAGGCAGTCACCAAGAAATAAGGCAAAACTTGGACATACAACTGAGAAACTGAAGAAAGGTACACATGCTCTTTACAAGGTCAAAAGAAGAGAGAGAGAGAGAGAGAGAAAGAGAGAGAAAGAGAGAGAGAGAAAGAGAGAGAGAGAAAGAGAGAGAGACAGAGTGAGGGAGAGAGAGAGAGAGAGAGAGAGAGAGAGAGAGAGAGAGAGAGAGAGAGAGAGAGAGAGAGAGAGAGAGAGAGAGAGAAAAACCGGCTTTAAACCTGAAATGAAATAACATTGCCATGAAAGGTAATGAGGAGACTTCTAAAATTCCTGATCATTACTTTATATCATTAACTTGCAATCTTATTATGACTTCTAATGTTATCATGTCTGAAATGATATCTGAAACCTAAAAGACATTTTTTCTTCAGTTTCGTGTTTTTTGGGGGGTTTTTGGTAAGTGTTTTACGTCGCTTGCAATTGCATAAGGTCATATGAGCCCGTGGGACACACCAAACATTTTCAGGTGGAAGGAAATGTTGAATTTTGCCAGCGTGGCGGCCGAAGACCTACTCTTATCGATTTTAAACCACCAAGGGATCTTTAAAGTGTGCAATTTGAACACAGGACCTCCGAGATTTTTCACCTTTGTCCCAGAAGGCTTGGCGTAGATCTTTCCTACCAGAAGATCAGGGGTGTGGCGGAAAGACAGCAGTAAAAAGAAGCCAAGGAGTAGCAGTAGAAAGGCTGCAGAAAGGAGCCCAGAGAAGGGGGCAAAGGAGGTGATGGGGTGTGGGTTGAAAGTGGAGACGAAAGCAGACGACAGAACATTGCTGGAGAGCAGGAAAGGATGTGAAAGGAGACAATTTTAGAGAAGAAAATTTTTCCGTGGCTACCCAAATTCGAACCCAGGACGTTTGAATGAGAAGCCCCAGTTTCGTGTTCCTTCTGTTTTTAGATGCGAAATGTCGTCAATCAATGGGAAAAATAAAGAGTTAAAATCCAATAGGAACTGACCTAAACGTCCGTTAAGGTCTTCCTCGCTGAGATCCTGAAACCTTTCCCCCGTCCACACGGCTAGCACCAGGGAGTTGTCTAGTGGGGAGCGGATCTGGTACACCATGTTGGGCATCAGACCTTGGTTCTTGCTGCCAGACCCCGTGATGATACACTTGTCCTCTGACAACTTGTCTAGGCTAAAAGAATCAGACCTATAAGAGAGATCAATTTATTCACTGAATGTTTTGTAAATGTTTTACACTCGCATCTGAATATCTTAGATGATTTCATTGAAGAAGCCTGTGCTTTGACCCTGCCCTTGTAAGGGCCAGCCTGAGCTGAATGGGATACAGCATCCTATCCAAAAGACAGAGATAACAAAACAAAAAGAGACTTAAATTACTGTATCTCTGCAAACAACTACGAAGAGCATTGTAACCATTATTACAATTCATTCGTTGATAAGAGAACATAATAAACGAAAAGCTCATCTAATTTTCAACAGCAAAAACTCACACTCACCCTTTCACATAAAAAATTGTCAAGTATGTACTAACACACAGCAATTCCGGTTGATAACAAGAAACATTTCATTCTCATGACACAGCTTTGTTACGTTACTCTACCTTCAATTTTATCCTGGCACAACAGGAGTCAAAGACAACACACTTTGAACAGACAGTCAAAAAGTCAAAAGATGAAAAAGTATTCCGAATACATACAATTAGTACAGAACCGGTATCTAATAATCTGAAATTCAAACCAAATCAATCAATAACATTTCAAGGTTTGACAATCCAGATTATGTTTCCACAAACTCCAAACGAGATTCACAAAATCCACATTTCATCAGTCATACCTATTCAAAACATTCCACTTTCAACATTCATAATTCTTGTGCATCATCTCTGTCAAACCAATTAGCAGTTGAGAGGAGAATTAATTATAAAATCCTGGGAAGATGGTTTGCATGCTTCAATCTTGTAAACAAAAAGGTCAGAATCAAGTTCTGAATATCTTGGTTACATTATTATATTCTTCAAATAAAAGAAAGAAAATCGCAATTAAAAAATAATACCTCTAATTAAAAACTTAATTGGGAAATTCCTGCTGAATACCAATTATGTTGGCTTCACATACATTAAAGCACCATTCAAATGGGACACATCTCTGCAATAAAATAATAGCTTCAGAAACAGCGCAAGCAATAGAAGTATCAGAAGAAGGTTGGAAAACACCAGTTTACTTACCATTTACAATGGTGATTACATAATAAACTACCATAATATAGCAGCATCCCTTTTCTTAGCAGGTGTCAACGTGTCATACTCAAGGACACACCCCAGTGACATCCCGTCTGAATGCTACGTTCCTGATATTCATCAACTTTGGTCCACAGTAAAAGAAGCACCGTCCAAACTATTTTTTTAAAAATGTTTCTGAGTATGCACCAGTACATTATATATATATAAATGTATGTGTATGAGTTTGCCGAGCATTAAAACGAACACCAAAGAGAGAACCACAAGAGAGAAGACTGACTGAGAAAAATGGGGTACTTACTTGGGAGCATTTTGGCTGTTGGGTGGAGCAGAGGAGACCTGTGGCTGCTGTGGAGGGAGCTGACCAGCCTGGGATGACATTTGACCCTGGGAAAGTGTTTGACCTTGAGAGTTATGACTGCCCTGGACGGACAAGATTGGGGCTGTGGGGCTCTGAGCGGGGCTACCCGGAACGGGAACCCTTCCCATCACCGGACCACCCATGGCAGCCGATGACGTAGAAGTGTAACCAGATATGGACGTACTCATACGTTGTGCTGCAGGGAACTGAGAGGTCGGTGCCTGCTGTGCTGCGTTGAACTGAGATGACGTTTGGCACTGCTGGAGATTCGGGGCGGGGTTCCGAGGTCGAACAAAGTTACCAGTCTGTTGTTGTTGTTGTTGTGATGGAGGTGGGTGTGATCTTTGAGGTGCACTATTGTTGTTGTAAGATTGGTTAGCCTGTTGGCCAGTTGGATTTTGATCTGTAAATGGGACCACACTGCAGATGGGCCTGCCTTCTGATAAAGATGTGGTGCTGCTGCTGGGGCTGTGAATATTGTTGTTTACACTGCCAGGGTAGGGGGAGCGAGGGGAGAGCTGACGACGAGGAGGGTGAGGTGAGAATCCCTGACTGTGAAGGTTATGTGGGTGGCCCATGCGCTGTTGCAGAGCATGCGGGCTGAAACCAGCGTGCTGCTGCTGTTGATTGTGGGCGAATCGATGAGGAATGTTTGACGGCATACGAGGGCTCATGCTCCGAACTGTCTGTGAACCTGACACAGCCAGAGAGGGAGGCATTCCCTTTTTCGCCATTATTTCTCGGTCCAGACTCTCCTGCATATGCATGACAGCGAGTCTTGCCAGTTTGGCTTCACTAGGCGCCATCTCCTGATCCAGAGCACCTGTGATGGGAGCTCTGTGCTGACCTGCGAACCTTCCTGGCAGCCTTGGGCGGACAGATCGCAGCGGAGCGTGTTGAGGTCGGGCAAACCCACCAGCCTGGGTGGGAGCAACTGAACCAATACCCTGCGGTCTTGGCACACCGGTCTGCATCGGCGAAATTATTGGAGGTCTGAGCGGGTGTGATGGGCGACCAGCCCCAGTTGAAGCTGGATGGCGAACAGCGTTCTGAACATGAGGACTTACCGGCTGCTGCTGCTGCTGCCCTGGAATGTTCTGACTTGGATTCGACTGTGACGGTCCGGCAAACCGTGGCCCCTGCGGTCTAGGACCCGATGGTCTCATCTGCCCTTGGGGAGGCTGAGGACGCATGTTAGGAGGACCTCCCACATTCCCACCCTGCGGGCCACCCACAGGAGGAGGCCTCCGTGCCTGGTTCGCGTTCTGTCCAGGAACCCTGGGCTGTAGGCTGTGCGGCTGACTGACGGCATGAGACCCCTGACTGGACGGAGGACCGGCACCTTGCTGGGAGTACTGCATCGTCTGCTGACCGTGTGAGAATCCAGCGGAGGAGCTGTGAGCAACATTCTGTACAACACCCGCGGGCCATGTAGCAGGGTGTTGTCCTGGCTGCTGCTTTTGCAGAGGAGACGGCTGAGAGGATGAAGATATGGCGTTTTCCTGTTCTTCCCCAAAATATGTTTGACTTTCAAAGAACGCATGCCCCTCGGCCTCAGCGTAACTGATGTCTTCAGGGTCAACCCCCTTTTCATGTAACTGCTGGATCAGAATTTTCCGTCTCTCCTCGTCCTGACAGTCCGATAATTCTTCCAAAAGTGCAGCTTCCCTGTGGATAATAAATAATATGTAAGAATTAGGACCAATCTATTGAAGTAGTTTGTTAAGGCATAGAAATAAATAACACAACAGACCGAAACAAATATCAAAATGTATGAACAAAATCCCTGAGGAATAAGTCAAAGCATATTTTTTTTATCAGTGCACTGAAACCACAGATTCTACTACAGGGTATGAGAGCTACCAAAATCTGAAAGACTGAAAAATACCAGACAGCTGTTATAATATAGAACACAGGATAGAGCACTGAGGAGTGAGGTACAGGGGGAATGAAATGACACCCACCAAAGCTTAAAAAAGCAATTTCAAAAATGTACTCCTGGAAGACCAAATTTTAACTCTACTAGAACAATAACCTTTTACTTTAAAAAATGTCAAAAATTTTTCCACTGGTCCAACATTAAATATTTCATTGGCAAATGGTTTGTTACCCTTTAATTATGCCAGTGTCGAGTTGTGATATGATGGAATGATTTTTACAATAGCAAATTTTCCGTAACGAAATGCCCATCTCAAGCAAGGATGGGTAACATCTTAACGATATAATTAAAGTGAGGCTTGAAGGCAACAGCTAGAAAGCAGTCATCTTTAAATTATTCGGGTTCCATTAAACTACAGATGACAACAGAATTGAGTCACTTTTAGTAGAGGTCTGTGCTGAAATAAACAAGAAACTTGCTTTTCTGTAACACTTCAGAAACTGAAAATGAATAGCATTACCTCTTCAACTGCGTCCTAGCCCATTTTTAGCATCCTACTTCAAGTACTATTAGGCAGCACTGTATATAACAAAAACAACCACACAGACCCGGAGTCAAAGGGTACCATTAATTGTCAATACTTGTTTCTGAGTAGCACCATTTCATTCAGTAAAGCATTTTACAGCACTTACAACACAATTAGAAAGTCACACACATGTGTGCGCCACAGATTAGAGGGGTTACAAGACAGTGGCAAACTCAAAAAAGAAGGATGATAGATGTTTGACAGGAAAGAAGGAGCAAATCCCACCAGAGTACTCACCAACCATCTACACCTCATCCTCTTAGCTTGTGACCATTTCATGTTATATACACACGTACGTCATCACATGCTCTAATAAAGTCACGATATAACACCACCAAAAGACAAAAATACACCACTGTCAGTTGAAAGATCGGCCTGTCTAAACTAAACCAGAGTGGAAAGATTGGTGAGGAAGAGGAAAAGATAGCTGCACAGCATAGCTGCTCAAAATGTCGAGTTTTACACTGAAAAACTCAAACTCATTACTGAATGTCACAGAAACAAAATCCGTAAATATACTAACAGTATAATCCAGTTATATCGACATCCGATTTATCGACATTTTGACATCACATATTTTCCAATTAAGAAATTTTTCCATCAATTTCTTCACTAAGCAATTTCTCTTATATCGACTTTTTTTCCGGCCCACTCTGTTTTATCGAGATGCTTCTTGGGTACCTGGTGAAGCCCACAAACATAAATGGGGGGAAAAGCCACGCTAACTGTCACCGCAATAGTTCCTTCATTTAGTCCGCATACCCCGCCAAGTAGCCTATATCGACACCCCAGGCTTTAGCAGGTCATGTATGGCCTTCACAGTGTAGTCTCCAACACAGTACAGTGCCTTACAGACGTGAGCGTCTCGGGCGCTGGGCATCACCTCCCTACCCCCACTCCCGATCACTCACTCGCCTCGTGCTGCTTGGCCTTTGGTACGGTAACTCCACACCCCCCCCCCCTCCTCCCCTCTGCCTCTTGTTAGTTTTACTGTGTAGTTGTGTCAGCCTACATCATCTTAGTGGACCTCAGGATCTATTCTTAGTAATCTTAGCTTCATGTCTTCACTCACGTTCATTTTCTCACTTCACGATACAGAAGTAGAGTTGTCTTTTTAATGCTGACCTCCCCTTGTTTTTTCCTCTTTGGCTTTAAATTTTCATCTATCGACATTTTTATATATCGATATCAAATCCACTTCCCAAATAATGTCGATATAAGCGGATTATACTGTACTTGGCTAATACAGAAGAGCAGACTGAGCTGTTCTTATAGCCGCCCGCAAGAAACTGGTAGAATTAATAATATTGGCATTTATATAGCGCTCAACCCTGATTAACAGTACACAGGCTCTACTATGTCATGATAAAGCTTTCAGTTGTGTGATTTAGGCTTGAAAATTTGAGTGGTCAGTATTAATTTTAGAGCAGCATCAGTCTCACAAAAATAAAATTTATACTACAAATACATTTCCATCCCAACCAAAAATCAACTAGATGGAACTTTAGTCTCAGCTAATCTCCAAAAGACAAAAAGCTGCAGTCCTAAGACAGTGAATTTTCGCCCTTGATAAGAGTGCAAAACTATACAGCAGCATACTTACTCATCAGTAACATCATCCTCATCACTGGAATCCTCAAACTGATAGGGTGGCATGGGGCCATGGGGAGGGACTGGACCGCCGGGGCCATGGAAAGGAGGAGGGCCATGGTGGTACTGCTCGTAAAAATCCTCTTCATCCTCTTCCATGTCCTCATCATAATCCTCCTCATCATCATCGTAATACATGTCCTCTTCATCCATCGGAATATCATCATCTTCAGGGTCCATGTACGGATTAGGAGCTTCAGCTCTGAGAGCCGGAGGTTTCATTCCAGAAGCCATGTTGGTTTGTGCTGGGCCAGGGCCAGGGCCAGGGCCCCGGGGAAAGTTTGAGCCATTTCTGTTGGCACCAACTGCACCTTGCATTTGTCCTGGTGGACCGCTTCCAGGACGACCTCCTGGTACAGGGCCCATATTTCTGTTGGCAGAAGCCATCCTGACTGCGTTAGCTGGATGTCTTGCATTTTGCATCTGGTTATTTGGCAGTCTCGGACGCAGCTGCTGCTGCTGCTGGGGTCGCCTTTGAAAGTGCTGCTGTTGTGGACCCGGATTCTGTTGCTGATGCTGCAACCGTGGTGGTGGTGGATTTTGCTGCATCTGTTTCTGTGGGTGCTGCTGTGGCTGATGAGGTCGACCGCCTGTTTGTTGTGGTGACAGTGCCGCATGTCTTGGTGATGTCGGTCGTGGAAAGCCGAGTCTGGAAGGCTGCCCGCCTGTGTGTATGGCGGAGCCGGGGTTGTTCATTCTAAAAGCAGGTTGCCTCGGCGGAGCGTTCTGAGGCGCGGGGGGGCCAATAGGCAAGCGGCCCACCGTTTTCATCTGCTCCAGTAACTGGTTGCAGGTCTTAAGTGACTGCTCCGGAGAGTTCAAGTTCTGTGAATGGGAAGGTCCTGTGTTCATGACACTGTTGTTGGCAAACTGAGAACTTGGGACACCAACCCCTTTTCGTACTCCTGGCTTTCCGGGTGACTGGTACATATTGTTATCTGTTTCAATTTGATGATCCATGGGTTCCAGTAGGTGATGAGATTCGTTTTCAAAGGTGCCGCTCTCTTCATGAAAAGAAAGTTCTTGGTAGAGATTGCCACCGGCCATGGAGGATGGAGGGACACCAGATTGAGACACGCTGCCGTCCTGCTGGGACAGGGGAGAGAACCCTGGCTGAGATGACTGAGGTGTAGCATCTTTATGCTGGCTGTCAGGGGATGGCTGAGGGGAACACTCCTCCGGACTGAGTGATGATGAAGGCAAATTGTCAGCCTGGGAGAAATAAAGCATTACTTGTTTAATAATCAAATTCCGTATTATTTCAACAAGAAAATATATTCAAGAAAAATGAAAACTATAGCTGTTCTATTGGCATGAAAGCTCTGAAGCCAACAATATAGAACATAGTAGTAGTCGATGAAAGTGTGATCATGTCTACTCAAATCTAAGACGCAAATCTTAAGCATCACTTTTTTAAAATCACCCTTCTCAATCCACTACAATAGTAAGGACTTGAACAAATGAAAGGACAATAAATCCAATGAGAAATTTGCATTATTACAAAATGCACAAAGGACATAGAAAAGAATTCCAAGGCTCAGAGAGTCAATATGTACATAATAAATAGCGCCAATTACAGAACATCTAATAAAACATGATACCATCTATGCAGAGCACTGTACATTTACAGCTGGGAGGAACTGAGGAAAAATAAGTTGTACGTTTCCTTAAAGGCCAAGAATACAACATGACTGTCCTGTGGAGATGAGAAGCCAACATATTTACCGCAGGTTCAATGCTTACTTTAACTACGCTTGACAAGGACACAAGTATCAGAGACAGATGAAAGTGAAGGAGAATAGTAGAAGTTTCTGAAACTGCAGTACCAAATGGAGACCACCCCCTCAGAATGATGTATGTCCGCCGTCTCACATCCAGATGTAGATGCCCAGTTGGGATAAGGGAACATCCTGAGCAAAGGCTTACAAGTCTAAAGAGGTTTTAAAAGTTGCACCACACTCAGCTCGGAACTGAACCCATGACTTAAACCTGCGCACAGCAATGAACAAGATCAAGTCAAAAACAAAAAACATAAAACCACTGCTGACCTCCACTTAAAGCACCATGATCATTTCAAATATTCTCCTCACCTGATGATCCTGTGGTTGAGAGCTGGATGGTTCACTGTTCAATTCCTCCACATTTGCAAGACAGGCCTTCAAAGCTTCACTCCACTCTTTGTCAACAGACATGATTTCACACTTTCACTTAGCATAAACTTTGCTCTGAAATAAGTAAACAAACAGAGAAATGAAAAGTTATTTTCAAAAACACTTTTGAAAGTTTCTAAAACACTGACTCTGGGAACACTTCCCACCCAGAGCCAAAACAAAACTTGAGAGTGAGTCTGAAATTAAAAATATAACGATTTACACAGTCGAACTCGTCCAAGCCAGAATCGTAATGGTCAGGGGAAATAATTTCATCTTGGCCAGCCTGGCCACTTTAGCGTCAAATCAGGGCTGAGTGGGCAAAACATTTTCTTGCAAAGCCAGATCATGTTTTTTTCTAAATCATTTTTTTACAGTGAAGATTGGTTTATGTGATAGACATATGGTGTCGGTGGCCTAGTGGTTAGGCTCTCGGACTCGCAACAGTAAGGTCGTGGGTTCGAATCCTGTCAGGGGCCCGATGTTGTGTCCTTGGGAAAGGCACTTTACACGAATTTTCCTCACTTCACTCAGGTGGGAATGGGTACCAGGCTATAGACAGCGAAAGATCTTGTCAGTTTGTTAGTGTTTGAGCGCTTAATCAGCTGCTTGCACTGTATGCTTCCCGGGTCGCTGAGAATGGTTCAGAGTGTTCTATGGTCTGCTGGGGTAATAATATAGTGTAAAGCGCATAGAGCCTGCTGTTGAGCGGGGAAATGCGCTACACAAATGCTAATTATTATTATTATTATAGACACAGATGTGCAGATTGCAATATTTTTTAAACTTTGAAAATCAGTTAATAAATAACTTTCCTGTCTTAAGGCCACATTTTAATTTTACTTATTTTTTCTCCTTTTCTCAAAGTATTCCATTCAAGGATTAAAAATGTTCAGTTCTGGAAATCATTATCAGTTACATAATCACCCCTGAGCCCCCTTCGTTCATGGGATTTTCACGACACAGGGGCATTGAAAGGGTTAATATATATGTTCACATACATAGAATAATGAGATTTATATCGGCAGAGGGCATTACGTATGGACTGGATTCTATGATATTTTAGTCCTTTTCAAGTCATACACTTTGGACTAGTCATTCAAGCATAGTCACAGGGTAAATCGATCGCTGGATGCCCCATGATTTGTGTACACAACCAGCCAGCTGTAACGCCTCACGTTTTGGTGGGTCTTATCAGCTCATTGCTTTGTTTCATTATCAGAAGGTTGAAGTTTGAAATCCATAATGGGTCTTTCCGCAAAAATGCATTATTTAAAAGCCGAACCACCAAGTTAGCCAGTGAGCGCCCAGGCACCCCCACTCCCCCCATGCACACTGCAACATTATAATATAACATAACGATAACAGATTGCTTTGGCAACAGATTCTTCACACTTTAATACTTTCTCAAGATAATTATCGTAAGCCTACTAAATTTGCTCACTGAACAGAATATTCACGATTTTGGTTTATTATATTTTACCTTATTTGCTATGTTATACAGTGGAACTCGGATTCAACGAGAACTCGGATTCAACGAAAAGAGATGGATTCCCTGTTTTTCTTCTTCTTTAAAATCAATAAAAATAACCCGGATTCAAAGAACACTTAAATCAGCAAGCTAGGATTCAACTAGGTTGCTTCCAGGGTGAACAGTCCCCTCAGACGTGGCTTCGCTCATTTTTCTCTCACAACGAACGTTATCTATTCCCGGAAACCATCCATTGCACCTGCATAGTGAACCATTATTCACTTAGCCAATTGCATGCGACCAATCAGCAGCCTTCTTTTCATACCAACACATGCGTTGTTGGAACGCGCACGCGTCTACTCTAGCGTGCGACTGGGTCGGATGGGGGGCCTGCATTAATGCGAGTACCGCACATTATGGGTATTTTTTTTTTGAGAATGACGTGAGGCTCTCTTTCTTTTTGGACCAATGCATCTTCTTTCATTTTGCTCAAAATTGCTGTGACCAGGAAAAAGCGCGATCGGCTTTTGAGGGTGCTGAAAACCAATCTCTATCAGAAATGACCCTAGGGGGGGCAGGGCTGAAGCTCCACAGGAGTGTCTGTGTCTGAATAGTCACACCCTTCAGTTTGTCCTCCTTTCTGATTGCTCACTTACACCAGGTTTCAAGACATTCAAGACTCTTCATCACCATATATGTGTCACGATGCGATGGAATCAGGCGCTCGTCAATTTGGGGGCATGTGGAGTTATTAGTGTATCATCTGAAAGCGTATTCATTTGCCTAGCTTTCGATGAAAAAATACCCATCTTGAATAGAAGCCGAGATACAAGACTTGCGACTGAAAAAGTTTTGTGTCGCCTGGTTTCAGAGGTAAATTTGAGAGAAAATGGCCACCAAAGTTTGGTAACTTCCATAGTTTTAGAGTTCTTTGTTGTAAAGTAGAGTAATCATAAGGTAACATTATAAGTACCCACTTTCAGTATTCCATAACGAGTACTGTAATGGTCAGTATATCGGTATCGTTGAGAGCAAGAAAAGAGTAACACACTCACACACACACATACACAGAAGAACAACAAAGATGTCTAACTTACGACAGCACAAGCCACAGTCATGTAAAGTTTAAGTCTTATATTAAACTCTGGAACACAACCCGAGACGTTGTTTCATTTATTAATTTTTAATGTTGTTGGTGTTCTTGGACTGTTCACAAGTAGAATACACAACAAATTGGCGACGAGAACTGCGAGATTGACGACGGCGTAAGTTGAAGCTTCATTACTTCAGTTCTTCGCAAACTCGATCATCGCTCACCTACACGTGGCCCCAACGCCCCCAGTTCAACCTGTTCTACTGTGGTGTGAGTACGACACACTACGTCAGCCGAAGACAGGATTTGACTGCTTGGACTGCTATCTACGCACGCTGCGCATTTCGCCCAGAAATCGTACTCGCTGTTGAAAGTCATGGCGACTCTCGGGAGAATCGAAGAATTCGATCCAGAGAACAACGATCTCGAATCATACACTGAAAGACTAGAACAATATTTCGTGGCAAATGATGTTATAGAAGGCAAAAAGACAGCAGTTTGATTGGAGGGAAGACTTACGAGGTATTAAAAAGCCTAATTTCCCCAGCAAAGCCTGCTGAGAAGACTTACTCTGAACTAAAAGAAGCACTACTCAAACACTATAAACCCAAACCACTTGTCAAATGAGAGATTTAACTTCTATAAAGCATCCCAAAGGGAAAATGAAAGCATTTCTCAATATCTGGCAAATCTAAGAAGGCTCTCACAGCACTGTCAATTTGAAAATTTTTTAGAAGACAGTCCTAGGGATGAATTTGTGTGTGGACTCAGAAGTGTGCATATACAGCAGCGGTTACAGCAAGTTGAGAAGCTAACTTTGCAAAAAGCTGTGGAAATGGCACAAACAATGGAGAGTGCTGAACGTAATGCCTCACAATTAAATGAACAATTTGAAAGCAAAGTTCACATTGTGAAGAAAAGTCAAGCAAAAGGAGCAATAGCCAACCAAAAAGGAGCCAAAATAAGCCAAAGAGGAGCCAAAGTCCAAGAAGTGGCTAAATATAAGCAAAAGAGCTACAGATGCGGTTATGATAACCACATAGCTCAGAACTGTAAATACAAGGATTACACTTGCAATATCTGTAACAAGAAAGGTCATCTGGCCAAAGCTTGCAGAAACAAAGCAGGAAACAGAAGCCAAGAGACAAAAATGGTAGTGGAAGAAGAACAAGAATTCATTTTCACCACTGAAAGCAAAGACTCAAAAACTAATGCATTTCAAACAGAAATAATGATAAATGAAAGAGGGTCCAAATGGAAATTGACACAGGCTCAGGTGTAACCATCATGCCAGAAACAACATTCAAAGAAAAATTTCCTGACATGAAACTCAAGCCCAGTGCACAGATTTTGAAGACCTTTAGTGGAACAGTCATTACCCTTGCAGGTGAAGTGATGGTGACAGTGAAATGTGCCACAGGCAAAAATGTGAATCTAAGACTGCTGGTAGCAAAAGTACCACACCATACAACAATTCTTGGAAGAGACTGGATTGAACGAAAAGTTAAAAATTAGATGGGCAAACGTGTTCTCAACAACAAACAGCCTTGACTCGGTGTTGAAGAAACATAAAAATCTGTTCTTGCCAGGACTAGGAGAGCTGAAGGGTACCCAAGACTGAATAAGACAAGACGAGGCAACTCTTCTTTACGTCATGTGACAAGCGCAGGCGCCTCCCACTTTGCCAGCTGCGCGTATAACTCGCTGGGCTGGCGATAGTTTACATTGGTTACAATGCAAGGCTACTGTGATCATCTCTGGCGGTATGTCTAGCCAAGACCTCTAAAATTAATATATTTTAGCCGAGAGAGAGAGGAGAGAGAGAGAGAGAGAGAGAGAGAGAGAGAGAGAGAGAGAGAGAGAGAGAGAGAGAGAGAGAGAGAGAGAGAGAGAGAGAGAGAGAGAGAGAGAGAGAGAGAGAGAGAGAGAGAGAGAGAGAGGGAGGGAGGGAGGGAGGGAGAGAGAGAGAGAGAGAGAGTATTTAATGGATAAACGTAGCCTATCTAGATCTAGAGAGTCTAGATTTTGTTGTGCACCCAGCCAAGAGTGTGCAGTTCAGAAAGTAGATCTAGAAATCTAGATCTAGGCCCTTAAGTGGTTGGCGAATGACCGAAGGGCGACTCTTGACTAGCGGTATGTCTGAGAATTGGCGGAGACACTCTAGATCTATATCATGGAACTTGATTCATACTATCATATCAACAGTATATAGATCTACTTGAGCTTCTGTGCTTGTTTCAATGGTTTCTTTTTCGGTGCACCTGTACAATTGTGGTCCCGTTTAATGTTTACATGACGGCCATTATTGTCATGTGGGAGTGAATCTAGATCTAGACTTAGATCTAGATCTAGATCTAGATCTAGATATCTCTAGATTCTATCTAGATCTAGATAGCAAAGATAATCTATTTCTAGATCTAGATAGCTAGATCGATCTAGATCTAGATCTAGATTCTAGATATCTATAATCTAGGCCTAAATCTAAATAAGAAACATGTAAAAATTACCACAGGGGCACTTAGGCCTTGAGTGATTAAGTGCAAACGGGACCGCTATTTTACAGGAATGCCATTGTTTCCTAGCTTCAGTTCATGATCATTGATTCTGACATTGGGGAACAGCTCGCTGTGTAGTTAATCTAGATCTAGATCTAGATCTAGTCAACAGTTAGACTGCTGGACTCTAGCAGTGGCCGTATCTTTAGTTTAAAAAATATCCAATCTATTGTATATTCTGTTGGACAACAGTTCATTGCAGAGCACCACTGGCTGTTCTGTCGTTTTTAAACTGTAAGATCTAATCTACTTCTACGTTTCGTAAACTCCTAGATCTACATCATCATGTCACTGAACATGTCCAGCCCACTACCGCTTTCCGTTCATAAAAACCTTAAATTTCTCAATTCACTATATTCAAAATGTGAACAAAAACCTGTCAAGATAGATACCAAACAGTTTATATGAAAAAAAACCAAGGCCAAACTGCCACTATGAAATTCAAAGAAGGCAGCTATTTCAGCGAGTTGAACAGTGTGCTCTTTCTTCCTATCTGGTTACCAAGGGGAGCCAGTTGGAATGAAAATGAGGCTGTTGTCCCGTCTTGTCTTATTCCGTCTTGGAGGGTACTAAGGCAAAGATACAATTGCAAGAAAATGCCCAACCAAAATTCTTCAAGCCAAGACCAGTGCCATATGCACTGAAGCCGAAGGTGGCGGAAGAACTTAAAAGCCTGGAAGAAAAAAGGATCATCACCAAAGTCACACACAGTGAGTGGGCAGCTCCAATCGTGGTGGTTCCCAAACCGAATGGGAAATTGAGACTACGTGGTGATTTTAAAGTCACAGTAAATCCAGCCATGAAAGTAGACCAGTACCCACTTCCAACAGTTCAAGACATATTTGCAAATTTGTCCAAGGGTCAAAAGTTCACAAAACTAGACATGACTCAGGCATACCATCAAATGTCTATGGATGAGGCCAGCAAACAATATGTAACAATTAATACTCACGTCTGACTTTTTCAGTACAACTGACTTCCGTATGGAATTGCCTCAGGACCTGCTCTTTTCCAAAAGCACATGGAAGAAATGCTAGCAGGAATTGAAGGTGTACAAGTCTTCATTGATGACATTCAAATCACAGGGTCAAATGAACAGGAACATATGGAAACAGTGGATAAGGTTCTGCAGAGGTTGGAAGAAAATGGAGTCAGATTGAACAAAGAAAAGTGCAGTTTTCTTCAGGATAGCATTGACTACCTAGGACATCATATCGATGAGAAAGGTCTGCATCCTCAAGAAGACAAAATCAAAGCCATGCAGGAAGCACTGAGACCAGAAAATGTGAAAGAACTTCGCAGTTTTCTTGGAGGAGTTCAGTACTATGGGAAATTTTTACCTAATCTATCAGCAACTCTAAAACCGCAGAATGAATTGCTTCACAAAGACAAAGAATGGAAATGGTCTGATGCATGTGAAAAGTCATTTCGCAAAGTAAAGGAACTGCTCAGTTCAAGGACAGTGCTAGTACACTACGACCCGCAGTTACCATTAATCCTAGCAACTGATGCCAGTATTAAGGGACTAGGAGCAGTGATTTCCCACAAAATGCCAAGTGGAGAAGAAAGGCCTATTAGATCGCCTTCGCTTTGCGGACTCTCACAAAGGCAGAAACAAATTATGCCCAGATAGAAAAGGAGACACTAGGAATCATGTTTGGAATCCGCAAGTTTCACCAATACCTCTACGGAAGATCCTTCACGCTGATCACTGATCATAAGCCTCTTCTTAAGATTTTTGGACCAAAGACAAACCTACCAGCGATGGCTGCTGCCAGAATCCAAAGATGGTCATTGGAACTCACCAGTTACCAGTATGAAATCCAGTACAGAAGAAGTGAAGATCACTGCAATGCAGACATGCTGTCAAGACTGCCACAAAAGGGAACAGAGTCAGAGAAGGAAAGGGATAAATTAGTCTATTTTTCTTACATCAATGACATGCCTATCTGATCTCTGCAGCTGACATTGCAGAAGAAACAAGAAAAGATGCTGTATTGTCAAAGGTGCTGCAATATACACTGACTGGATGGCCAAATTGCTCAGAGGATGACAATGTCAAGCCATTCTTTCAAAGAAGGGAGGAGATTACCACAGAGGCAGGAGTTCTTCAGTGGGGCCTGAGAGTGATCATACCTCAGAAGTATAGAAACAGAATACTATATGAACTACATGAAGGATATCTCGGAATGAACAAAACCAAAGCAATGGCTCGTTCATATGTATATTGGCCAAAGATAGATCTAGACATTGAGAAAATGGTCAAGGACTGTCACAGATGTGCAGAAGGGAAGAACATGCCAGCAGCCGCTCCAGTATTTGCATGGACGTTTCCGTCAAACCCATGGGAACGGATTTATGTAGATTTTTGGGAGTACGAAGGTCAGAAATATCTCGTGCTGATCGATGCTTACTCAAAATGGCCTGAAGTAATACCTATGACAACAACGACAGCACAGAGAACAAATGATGTGCTCAAACAGATCTTTGCAATTCATGGATTGCCTGTCACACTTGTCAGTGATAATGGCCCACCATTTAGGTCAAGTGAATTTGAAGAATTTCTTCAGAAAAATGGTGTACAGAACATAACATCACAGCCTTACATGCCCTCAACAAACGGATCTGCTAAGAGACTTGTTCAGTCATTTAAGAGACTTATGAAATCATCGAGCCCAGGACAAAGTGGACCGCAAAGATTGTCCAAAATCCTGTTACAACTCCGAACAACGCCTCACATGATGACTGGCAAAAGTCCAGCAGAACTCTTATTCAAAAGGAAGATAAGAATCCGGTTGGACCTGATGAAGCCTGATCTCGTATCTAAGATGCGTCACAAGCAAGAAGCTCAGGCACAAGGAAAAATCCTCCGTGAATTTCAGCCTGGTGACACTGTCAAAGTCAGAAACTACCGGCCAGGTGTAAACAGATGGACAAACGGAGTGATCTTACAAAGACTGGAAACCCACAGTTACTCTGTTCGTGTAGGTGGAACGGTGCGACACTGTCATATCAACCAGCTGCAGTCTGCTCCAGACTCAACTGCAGATATCAACGAATTACCGCCTCCACTACCTACCGTCCCAATGTTACCAATGGGTCAGGATGAGGAACCAACGGTACCACCATCAAGTGTTAACCCTGACACAAACCAAGACGCCACTCAAGGACAAGCGTCACCACAACGATCACCACCAAGACGTTACCCAAAACGTGTCAGAAGACCAGTTCAAAGAATGGACTTATAACTCTACTCAAGTGAATGGACTGTCATAATCATAAACGTTCTCAGTGAAAAAATGGACATTTTAACTACATAAAAGTGAATGGACTGTTTTAAGGATAAACATTTTCAGTGAATTAATTTCAGATGTGCTATTTAGTATTAGTGACATGAAACAAATCATACCAAGGGACTTACCTCTGAAGTGATAATTTTGTTACAAGTTATAAGGGATTAATTTCCTTGCATCATAATGTGCACATAATAATATTACCTTACCATTGTTGTCAGTGAAACAAAGTAAAGCCTATCACAGATCTTAAGAAGTCAGTTGTAATAGAATTCAAATGAAAAGTTTCGATCAAGTTTGTTACAGAACTAGTAAAGCTAGTAGGGCTGGGTCACGAGCGCGAGAACGGAACTGAATCGTCACTCTTTCCTGCGGAACGCGATTCACGATTCACTTCAGCGGAACGCGGAACAGTATCGCCAAACGATTCCCGATTCACTCCCCTGTCGCTGTCACCACCTTGTGGCTTGTTTAACTTACTGCTGAGTCGAGTCACGAGCGCAAGAACGGAACGGAACACTTAGTATGGCTCCCCTTATTTTACAAAAGATGGTATAGTCCAACCCCCCTATTAAAACAAAATGAACGGGGTCCAACCAATAGACAGAAGGAATTTTATGGAGCCATTGTTTTAGCGAATGGTGGGGTTGGGGGGGGGGGAATTTATGGGGGTCACTAATTGAGGTCAGTTGATAGAGCAGTGCAACAAAGGGTGTGGGGCGGAGAGGATGGCGGAACAACTGTAAAAGTGGGACCCGCGCTCGCCAAGAGGCGTTGATATGACATTGTTCAGTTTCAGTCAGTGTTCCGCCACTGCTCCACGAGCGCTCGCGTACTCGCGATTCATTGAAGCCCACTGAATCGCGAATCGCCACTCTCAAATTTGACGAGCAGGATCCAGCCCTAAAGGCTAGAATAACCAATTATGAATGTCCATGATAGGTTAAAGAACACGTAACTATTTTGAAAAGATTTGAATTTTTAAGAAAGGGAGGAATGTTGTAAAGTAGAGTAATCATAAGGTAACATTATAATATAAGTACCCACTTTCAGTATTCCATAACGTATTCCATAACGAGTACTGTAATGGTCAGTATATCGGTATCGTTGAGAGCAAGAAAAGAGTAACACACTCACACACACACACATACACAGAACAACAACAAAGAAGTCTAGCTTACGGCAGCACAAGCCACAGTCATGTAAAGTTTAAGTCTTATATTAAACTCTGGAACACAACCCGAGACGTTGTTTCATTTATTAATGTTTAATGTTGTTGGTGTTCTTGGACTGTTCGCAAGTAGAATACACAACATTCTTGTCAACTGAAAACTCACAATTTTTGTGTCTTTAATCTACGTGTTTCAGTAAAATGCACACAGCAAAGTATTCTTAAAGTAGGTACTGCAGACAGCCCGTTTTGAAGGCAGACAGCCAAGGCTGAAGCCAGTTTTGGACAACTTCATTCAACTAATAGCTGGTCTTAATTTTTGTAAACACTAATAAAAATGATACCACTGTTTTCTGTGTCTTTCCCTCTCCATGGTGAACGAGAAACTGTTATGATAGCATATTTAGTTTTTAATTGACTAAAGTTTAACACGGGAAAACTCAACCGTCTCGTAATTTTGAGCGCTTAGATTTGGGGGGTACTTGTTTTAAATTTCAATTTCTCAGACGTGAATCATTGAATTTTCTTGCAGTTTGAAACATAAAAATCTGGGATTTCAGGAGAATAGGTTATTGTTTTTATTCCGAGCCGAAAGCATGAGTGGTACGATGTAAAGACAAAGAAAGCATTTTAAAATATGAAATTTGACACAAATCGAGCTATCCGTGCCAGGATCATATTCCTAGACATCTCTACAATCAAGCTTATGCGTTTAGAAAAGCCAACTACGTTCCACAAAGTAGAAATATTACTTTTTCTGAAATGGGGTAACAACCACTTTCGGGAGATCGTTATTCTGCCATTGTGGCTGTTCCATCGCACATTGCCGCCCCCTCTGACTAGACCCAACCAGCAGACGATTATTGATGGTTCAGTGAAAGAAACATTCGTCGGATCTGTTCGTCAATTTATGTAAAATATTATCATAATTTTCTTTTAGGATACTTATGAATATCATGTTTTGAAAAATAATACTAATCTGCCACCACTTGCTGGTTGGATTTATTATTGTTTGGTGGGAATCACGCCGACCTACATTTTCACCACCTCATAGCAAATTAATTGCGATCTATACAAATGTATCGCTTCATGGTTGTATTTTTGCTGTCTTTTCAACTAAGAACACCGTATTTATTCTAAATGCATCAAAATCTAAGCATCTCTGGTCGACAAAGTGAAAGAATAAAGCCCTGAATAGTTGAACTGGGAGTTCTGTTTATAGTAACATGTCATCACACACTAAACTAAACACTCGGAAGGGGGATACTGGGTGTTAGTGTTACCAATGGAAATATTCGTAGATCTATTGTTTAGCATTTAATTTGAAACAAAAAGGCTAGATCTACATTTTTGATTGGTGTGGATATTCAATTATTGAATGAACCAGCCTTTTTTATGTATTCTTAGACTTAGTTAGACTTAGATGTCACCTGATAATAGGAAAAATGCCCCCCCCCCCCATACCCTCTTTCTTCCATCCACTTACTGGACACATATTGTATTTCCCCGGCCACTGGTTTCTTTCTCAGCTAAAATGATAAATATAAATCTAGAACTAGATCTATAAGATGAACCACGGCAGAAACAGTATGTTGATTAAATTCAAATTTTTAAAGCCCCTGAGCAGAAATTTTAATTTTCTCAACCAATATTGATGACTTTTTTTCACATTATTGTCCATTTCTAAAATGTTTGGAAGGTTTTTACTTTCTATAAACTAATTCACTGTACAGAGCCGCCTGAAAAGAGGTTTAACTTGATATATAATGCAGCCTTGTAGCACAATTTGTTGATTTTATACGAATTTTTTTCCAGTCGGCAAACATTATAATTTTCACTCAATAATGGCAGGTTTTTTGGGGCATTAAAGGGCCGTTATGGAGTGTGATGAGAGGTTTTAGTAAACAATTTTCTTTTGGCCTCGTAGAGCTTGCATTGAGCTTTAATTTGATGTATGATTTAGCCCTGTAGCTTGATTTGTTCACTTGTTGTGATGCTTTTTGCCCGAGGATGTACCAGAGTTCCCCTAATTTTTTTTCCAAGAGGAATTTTTTGCACCGAAGCCCACTTCAGAGGAGTCCAGAAAAGTTACTTATGGTCAGAGAGGTCTGAAAAAAATTCAGCTACGTTTTTGCATGTGTTTGTAATGATTGTGTGCTTTTCACTAATGAGGAGGCAGTTTTGACTAATTTGGAAGAGGTTGAAATAGGGTTCTGAGCACATAATGACATATTTTGGACATTTTTTTTTTCAATTTTTGAAGGCCTATATCTTGGAAACCAGTCAATTTTTTAAGGCCTATATCTTGGAAACCAGTCAATCTAACATGCTTTGGTTTAGAGATCAATATTTGTGTTGACAGCTCTGGGAAAAACAAAGTTTTCATTGATTTGATCATGCACTCTGTATTTTAGAACACCTCAAACATGGTTGAAAGTCGCAGTTGAAAAGGTATCGTTCAAAAATAAAACTTTAAAATACCATATTCTCGATTGTTTATTGATGGACTTTGATAAAAATATTCTCTTTTTAATGTTCTTGAGTAGATTTGAACCCCTAAGGTTCAAACATCAATATTGTTATAAAAAAATAATTTTCGCTTGTGGTACCTACTTAAAGGGACAGGTAAAAGGTGTTGAACCCCTAAGGTTCAAACATCAATATGGTTAAAAAAAAATAATTTTCGCTTGTGGTACCTACTTAAAGGGACAGGTAAAAGGTGTTGAACCAAAGTACAAAAATTTGATAAAAATTGTCAAACAGGAAGAAAAATACTGTTTTCTTCTATTTCATTATTTTGACGAGGGCCTGATTTCACCACGCTGCCTCACATAGATGTATAATATTCAAATTAAAGCTTTAACCAAGGTTAGCCCAACTCTGTCAGTGCATGCCCTCTGTGCGCAATGGCACTGCATTTGTCCCATTCGTAGCACACATGAACAGGGCAGCCATCCAGATCAGCTGAGCAGCAAACATTTTCTGTCTTCGATCAAGGAAGGCCTTTGATCAAACCCTCCGGAGGAAAGAAATTTCTTGCAATTTCTGGGTAAAAAGAAGGCTTCCACACCAGACAAAGAGTATTGAGCGTATTAAGGCCACCTTTATTCTCATCCCAGGGTGACAATAGCGCAGGCGAGCCTTTTGGCTATTCTCATCTGGTGTGCGCTCACCTTTATAGCCTAGGCCAACCAGTGTAGCGTTCACCCTGAACGACAGAATTCTACACTGTGACAACAGAATTGTAGAATTCTGTGCCGTGAACAAACGTTCCAGCGCTCTTTTGTTGCTACTGTAAAGTGTTGCAATTTTGTCTGTGGGCAGGAGGGAGAGAGAAAGAGAGAGAAAAAAAGAGAGAAGAGTAGCGTGAGAACTTCCAGGCAAAACAAAATGGCGACCCGTGTAGTTTGGTTCGATTCGAAAAGTTACATAGCCGTAGCATCTTTGCAGACTACCAAATTAATTTACTTTTCTGTTTTAACATCACTTTTTAACTTTGTTTTGGTCAATTTGTTCGTCCACACCGATAGACAGTATTCAGAAAGAGAGAGAGAGAGAGAGAGAGAGGGGAGGAGTAGATCTTGCGAGAACTTACGGGCAAAACAAAATGGTGACCCCCGTAGTTCGGTTCGATTTGAAAAGTGAAATAGCTAAAGTAGCATTTTGAGATTTTGTAGACGACCAAATTAGCTTCTTTACGTCATTTTTTTCTTGGAAGTGCCTATTTGCAACGCCGCGCTGCGATTAGCGCCAGGGCTAAATAAAACGCCGTGTTGCCGTGTATGTAAAATATTAAGCTTAATCTGCACTTCGTTATCGGAAGTTCTAACGGCCGAAGTGACAGCGCGTCTGCGCTTGAAGTCAAACCATTATTTTTCTAGCGTGGGTTCGATCCCGGTCCTGGACGTTTTTGTTTTTTTTCGGGATTTTGTTGTTGTTGTTGTTGTCCTCTTCTCGACTGACCAACAAATTGTTCCCATAAATATATCTTGTCGCTTTGTAGTTGTTTTTTTTTTAATGTAGTGATGAAGCATGCACATTTTGGTTTTGTCCCCAAGAGGAGCTCTGTACAAAGTAGGCCTTAGTATAGCCTATACTTTTCCTTTTACCAATTTAGGTCTGGTTAAAGTTCAGTAGTGGCTTTCCTTGATCTGTGAGTCTAATTTTTTTTTTTTTATAAAATTTTAGGCTCAGGAGAAGGAAAAAAAACAACTCCCGGGACCGGGACTCAATGCCACGCATGGAAGCACTGAACATTAGACTTAGAGACCGTAGACAGTAGACAGCTTGTATACGTTCTCTAGGCCTAACTTAAAGTTCGGGTTGCACCGTCTTGTTATTGTTATCCAAGCGTCTTTCGACTTAAACTTGCTCAAACTCTAACTCAAATGATATAATATAAATGATTTTGAGAGATGAACAAGACGTCTACTTTTGTGCAAACAATGTCAGAAACAATTGTTAGATCTAATCTAGATCTAGATTTTTCTAGATCTAGATCTACCCAATATTGATCGGAATAAGACAATGTCATAAAAAAAGGAGTCAAATCCTAGGAGGTTTATCAAAAAACTGAGAAAGCTTCCACAATTCAGGCAGAACTACAGTATTATCATCATGTAGAAACGATGGCTACTACATCTAGAGTCTACCCACGTCACTGCGCATCTGTTTGGGTGCGCAACCCCCGGTCTCCTGCTTTGTTTTGGATAAGAACAGCGAAAACGAGGTCACTTTCTGTGAGCATGCGCAGAATGCAGCTTATTTCATTTTCGTTTTGGAGGTTCCTGTCAACACACCTGAATCTACGGTGTCGAAAAGTTTTGCCCAGTCATATTAATGGTTTTCGTAACCGGTATTGGTGAATTTACTAAGCGCTTGAGTAGTCGATTATTTAGCACTTTTAGTTAATCTAGCTCTAATGTATCGTAGAATGTAGGGTTGCGCACTGAAGCAGACCAAATTTGAGCAGTCCGTTTCGGTGCGCAATATCGGCTTTTTTGCTATTTGGCATTGATAGTGTGGCTTCTGGGCCCTTTGGTTGTTTTACTTATTAAGTTATTTCTTTATGACCTGCATTGTGCACTGAAACAGACTGTTTTCCTTCCATTTGGACGCATTATATTGCCATTGGAAGATGATCAGTTAATGTATTCATGTCAAAATTAATTAATATATATGGAAATTTAATCTCCAAAATGTTCAATTTCTTCTTTTCATGTCATTTCTTCTTCTTTTTTGTCCTTTTCCTTTAAGAATACTAGTCTAGGTAGTAGGTATAGTCTAATTCTTGTTTTCTTCTTTCACCTCCTTGTGTCCACAGCACCTTTCTTTTTCAATTTCTTCTTTTCAGGTCTTTTTCTTCTTCTTTTTTGTCCTTTTCCTTCAAAAATACTAGTCTAGGTATAGTCTTATAATTCTCAAGTCCGAATATGAAAAAATGTTATTCGGACTCTGATTCTTGTCCAGCATGACATCACTTCCGACTTCCTGTGACTCGTGACTCCGGCTTCCTGTCCTGCATCACTCGTGACTCGCCTTTGGCTAGGTAGAGACCGGGATCACTTCGGGCAAAATGGCGTTAAATTGTGCAGGAGCCGAGTTTTTATCGTATGATGAATTTGAGGCCAGCCTGAAAAGTTATAGCGCTTCTAATAAATGTTTATTTGTCAAGAGGTCATCAGAAGCAATTAAAGTTAAAGATGGCTCGTTAGCGTGTGTCGGGGTCGGATGGGCGGCCTGCACACGTGTGGCTGTGTGCGTGTCGGGGAGGGGGGAGGGGGCACTATCGGTCCGGGCGTTGAACGTCGCATACGCGTCAGCCCCCCCCTGGCAACTGATCATTACAATAATAAGCTAGTCTTGACGTAGATCCACGTAATGAATTGTGCGCTCATCTGTGGAATCAAAAGTTGCCATATGCTCGGCTCTACACAGCTACACAACTTTTTCTTGGTAAAACAATCGAGATGACATAGGCTTGTGAATTTGAACGAATCGGCCTTTTTTTTAACACAGCTCATAATATGCAGGTGCCAGGTGATCTGCTAATCTTCAATTTTACCTTTTTCTACAACAAAGAAAGTGGGAAACATGGGGGGCGGGGGGGGGGGGGCGTATCAATGAGACGGCGGGCATCGGATCGGCAGATAAAGTGTGGGGAAAACTAAAAAATGGCGGAAAATTGGAAGCACTGAACGTTAGATCTATAGAACGAAGACACTTCCTTTTGGTAAATTTTTACTTTCACTCCCGCACACAGATGCACTGTTTCAGGGGTCAAACTGCTGTACTGTTTGCTGCAGATCACACATAAAGCCACGAAAACTGTCTCAAAGCAATTATTTTCAAGACAATTTCAAATCTAACTAACTGTAAAATATCAAACTGTGGGTAAAAACAGGGGGGGATGCCCCCCTGTAACCCCCCCGATTTTCTTTTACCCCAGTGGGGCAGGCCCTCCTGGAACCCCCCGATTGGTCCAAAGCATGTCTATCTCGGTTAAAAACAATCAAATATTTCAAAAACTATTAATTTGCTACGGAAATGAAGTTGATATTCGTGTTCAGCGCATCAATATTTAGTACAAAATAGACAATTGGTAGCTGAGTGTGAGACGGGAGGGAAAGTAAAAAAATACCTTCCTTTTTTCCAGACCGTGTCCTAATAACATTTGTTCATATTCGGACTCGAGTCCGAATAAGAAATTTTTTTATTCGGACTCCAGTCCGAATATGAAAAAATTTTATTTGGACTCGAGTCCGAATAACGATGGCCTTTCTTCTTTCCCCTTCTTGTGTCCACAGCACCTTTCTTTTTATCCATTATCAAAACACATACACACGGTGTAAGCAAATCTCCTGTTAGGGGGCGCACAGCTCTCAAAAAGAACACGCTTCATTGACCTTGGCCTTCCGTTATAATGGTCAGAACAGGAACTTCTTGCAAGGAAAGAAGACAAGGCCAGGATAGAGAAAGATGAAAAGTGTCAGAAAAGAGCTAGATCTAGATCTAGAGCTGTAAACATGGTACTATTGCGCACCCAACCAGGCGATATATGTTGCACCAAACAGACACCTTGCGCACCAAACAGACACACGATACCAAACAAACACCACCACAACATATATATATATATAAATTTTAAACTGCTGTTACAGTATTGCGCTACACCGTATAGAGAGGAAGTTTTTCCAACTTCTGGTGAAAAAATCATGAAGATCGACCTGTAACTTCCAGAGATATCCACAAACGATTGCTTATTATACTGTATATCGCACCACAGGATTAACTCTAGATCTAATTCTAGTACTGGCGTTTCAAATAGCATGGGAGCCAGAACGCGGCGTTGCAAGAAAGTGGCTATTCTCACCCGCCCGGAAGTTCTCGCAAGATCTACTCCTCCCCTCTTCTCTCTCTCTCTGTCTCTTTCTGAATACTGTCTATCGGTGAGGACGATCAAATTGACCAAAACAAAGTTAAAAAATGATGTTAAAACACAAAAGTAAATTAATTTGGTTGTCTACAAAGATGCTACGGCTATTTAACTTTTCGAATCGAGCCGAACTACGCGGGTCGCCATTTTGTTTTGTTCTCTCTCTTTCTCACTCTCTCTCTCCACTGCCCACAGACAAAATTGTACGCTTTTAGTAGGCTACAAGTACAGTTGTAATGGAACGTTTGTTCACAGCACAGAATTCTACAATTTTTCTGTTATCACAGTGTAGAATTCTGTGGTTTAGGGTGAACGCAAAATTTGTTGGCCTAGATCTAGGCTATAACGGTGAACGCGCACCGGGTGAGAATAGCCAAAAGACTCGCCTGCACTATTCTCATCCCGGGTGAGAATAGAGGTGGCCGCGTTGCAGCACGGGAGCTATTCAAATTCAGAACGCGTCGTTGCAAATAGCGCTTGCCTTTTTTCTTTGCTTTTGTCAATTTGATAATCCACACCGATAGACAGTATTCCGAAATTAGAAAAAACAGGTCTTGTTTCACACGCTGGCAAGTCTCACGTGGGGTGAGAGGTCAATCGTATTTTTATTCTCACCCCGGGTGATACAGATTTCTAGCAGAGAGTTCTGAACTTTATTCTCTGTCTTGAACATGTTTCAGGTAGAAATCTAGAGAAGGCTTCACCTGTCCTGTATTATATTACAATTAGATTCCTAGGGGCCTAGATCTACACAAGACTAAGACAAGACCAAAATTCAAAACTGACAAAATCAACAGATTCACAACCAAATAAGTGGGCATCAAATTGATGGCATTCCTCTTTCCTCTTTCCCTGTTCAATTCTTCAAGAGCCTGATCAACACTATCACTGACACTAGTTTAGTAAAGTTTATGCCGTTTACTCTTGATCTAGATTCAAGTTTGATTAGATTTAACATCTCTAGAATCTATAATAGGTAAAGGAGGCTTGGCGAAAGACTCAAAATTCAATCTGAAACCGAATCAAAATGTCCACTTCGGTCTGAATGAGAGGCAAACATAACGAGGCGTATGGCAAAACATATGGCAAAGGCAGACGATGATTAAACTCAGAATTTAACTAGAACTAATTTATTTACCGTACAAACGCCTGGAAATGCTAAATTAACATTTTGCTTCCAAACGTAGACAATCAGTCAAACAATAGGAGGACGTCTGTAGCCTTTTCAACCCCGGATGAATGGCAATTCGAGATGGCGTTTCATGTCGCAAAAGTCGGGATGCAATTATGCATGACAGAGAAATATCATTTCAGATGGTGTAAACAGAATCCAAATAATCAGTAGTTGCAAAATCAACCAATATAAGTGAATTTTGTTGAAAATGAAATAATGATACATTTGCACGACATAGAGAAAAAAATGTCCAATTACCGAACAAGCCAAAAACACAAGGCCAAGAATGGATGCAGCACTGGGGCAGGAAACGCGTGCCTGATAGGAGCCCTTTCACAAAGCGAAACTATGGTCAAATCGTGCTGCGTGCTGCAAGACTCGCGCATTGAATGCCACGTTATGATATCACGTTAACTATTGTTAGTTTTTTTTAAGTTACCCTATGCTCAAGGACTATATATATACTGGTCAATATTCAGAAGTCAGAATCGCGCTCTCATTATAAATGGTGTAGGTTGCTTTCCATTGTACCGGGTGGGTGTTCAAATTAAATGTCAAGCAAACTTGTATCTTGTGGAACAAGATCTAGAGTCTAGGTATCTGCATATCAAGTACATACCTTAATATGTTTATTGTTTTTATCGACACCCAAGCATTTGTTCGGTCAGACGGATTTATGCTTCTTTCTTTATTTTTTTACCATTTCTTTATTACTGTTACTTTTGTTTAAATATAGATATTATCTCGGCTCCTGCTTTTAAAAAAGGAAATCAGTACCACACTAAAATAACAAATAGCCTAACTTCTTTGTTTAAAAAGTGTTAAACGATACTTTTGATATCAGATGAGAGGAAGGGTGGGGATGTTAGGTATGTGTGTGCA